GCGGCGGCGGCAGCGGCGGCCTCAAGAAGAAGAAGCGGCTCTCGCAGTCGGACGAGGACGTGATCCGCCTCATCGGGCAGCACCTGCACGGCCTCGGCCTCAAGTAAGTGGCGGCGGCGGSAGGGGGGCCCGGGCGCCGCGGGTCGCGCCGGCGGCCGCTCTAACCAGCGCGGAGCCCTTGGCCCGCCCGGGGTGCACATGAGCCCCGGGACACCGTGTGGCAGCCCGGAGGAACCCGGCAGAAAACTAGAAATAGGCCGCTCTCTATTTATTTAGTTGTTGTCATTAAAAGGAAAAAAAAAAAAATCACCTTCCCCTATATGGTGAAGGGCTCTCTGGTTTGTTTTAGACATTTGCTTTTGATACTGGCGCCTAGTCCATGGATAATCTTATTATTTTGGCCATTCCTTAAAATCAGACAGGGGAAAACAACCTCCCAGTGGAGAAGGGGAAGTCTAAGAGCTTATTATCTATATGTATAGATAGGTAGACATATAGATACGTATATTCACTTCTCCGAGTAAAGCCGGGGATGTATCATAATCCTGGAAGGAGGCTACAGCTAGAAGCTTTGCAAGGCCTTCGTGGGGCTGCCCATGGCCTGTGTTGGTGGCAGCAGGGATGGTCGTACAGAGCTCGAGACATAAAATAAATCGCCCCTGACACGAGGCAAGTTTATGGCAGCAGACAACTCGTGACTGTTCATAGACAACAACACAGTAAATAGGCTATTTTTAGTRTAAAAGGGGGAGGGCCGCAGGTTTGGGAGCTTGCTTATTGTATTTTAAGGAGCAGCTATTTCTCTAATACATAACGAAGAAAAAGTGAGGCCTGTTGCAGATGCATTTCATGAGCAAGTAGTGACGGCCCTTTCTGTCCTCCCCCTTTGAGGAGGGGGAGTGGGGGAATCGTTTCCAGTAGCTAATAGGTTTACAGTCTGTATCTTCCTTCACGAAGCCTGTCTCCTATTCAGGGATGCCTGTTTGTGGGGGCTGGGAGGCCACATCCCAGCAGAGCTTTCCGACTCCTCCACAGCTTCTTTTAGACAAGACAGGGTCCCCGGACACTTGAGGGGATCTTCCAGACAAGCTTCTGAGCCTGCTCATAGCGTTCTTATTCTGTTAAAGTTGCTTTTAACTGTGGTAAACTGCTGTCATAGGAGGCGGTGTATTTATGAGGGTGAAACTGGTCGGGTTTTTTACACTGTATCTCTCCTGCAGCCAGACTGTTGATCTTCTCATGCAAGAGTCAGGATGTCGTTTAGAACATCCTTCTGCTACCAAATTCCGCAATCATGTCATGGAAGGAGAATGGGATAAGGTAACGTAGGGCTTATAGGACTGTACTAGCTGCTGTTTAAATTTATAGTATCTGTGAGAGCATTTGCAATCCAACCTCCTCATAATTTTCTTTTTCCCCCTTATGCCAATTTCTGCAGGCTGAGAACGACCTGAATGAACTTAAGGCCTTAGTGCATTCTCCGCATGCAATTGTGGTAAGAGGCACTTCGACTATTTCAGAGCTTTGTATTTGGACTAATTGTAGCACTGGAATCTTGCACGTTTGGGTTAGTCATCCATAGTTCTTGGTCTTTTTGTTGTTGTTGTCATTTGTTTTTTAAGCAATTCGCATGCTATTTCAAAAGCCGTACTAATTTTAATTTTAAATGCTTTCTTAGAATGTGGTAGGAAGCCCGGAAGTATTAAGACTGATATTCAGTGCACTGATATATGTCTTGAAACATTTGCAACTGCCAAAACATAAATCCTGCAACAGTCCTAAAATAGGCCAGTTTCCGTAGAAACTGCCCATTTTGAATGCTAAGTTCAAATGTAGAATACTTCACAAGATTTGTGTTTATTGGGGTTAGGCTGTGTGGAGGGAACAAAATGCAGTAATACTAATGTGGAGTTGGCAGTGTAATAGTATAAAAATAGTGGCTGCTATAGAATATGAACAATATTGTTGCCCTTCTAGATAGTCTCTAGAGAGTAAATGTATTGGTATTGCTGTTTGGGTATTTTATTTGGGTATCTTTCTGTCTGGCCTTTCCCTCTCTTTTTTTCCCCCTTTCCCCCCAAGCAAGAGTCTAGAAACAGGTTTGTAGATCCTGTGACTTTAATTGCAGTGTGTTTTGTTATGAATTCGGTTATTTCAGGCAGATGTGCTGACGTACAACCCTGCTTCTTGGTTTGCTTTTGTAATCTTGAGATCAAGCTAACTAATTACTTAGCTCTCTTCTTCAAACGGCTTGATTTATTGTATTTAAATGCTTATTCTAATGAAATGAAGTTAGAACTACTGTGGACACTTAGGAAGAGAAAAGTGGCCCTGCTTTTGGAAGTGTTGGTGCCTGTAAACAGTGAGGAATCAGCTGATGGCTGCTGGGCTCCACTTCTAGCTGATTCATTTGTTGTCAAGACAATTTCCTGTCTGGTGGGGGAGGGAGAGARAGAGAGAGAACAGGAAGTGAAGTAGGAAAAACAGATGTTTAACAAAACATCGGAGAATACTTGAGAGAAGTTTGTGTCCTGTTAATCTGGTTAATGCCTGGCACTTCTTAATTAGACTAGTATTCCAGTTTCTCCTTTGTCAGGTCTAATAAGTGTASAATTTGCTGCTTAAATAGGTTAGAGTATTGAATGCATCTTTCAATATAGATTATGAAGCTTGAAAGTATAAAAGCGTTGTGTGGGGGTATGAATGTAGTAAGGCAGACTTTCTCATATTTCCAGCTTTTGAATTTACTTGGCTTCATAGAATTCTATTTACTTATTGATTTTTATCCTAGAGTTAGAGGGTTTATCTCACTGCATATCAACAATGTACTCCACAGTAGAATTTCGCTGCGGTGGAGGGCATCTCCTTTTTGTAAATGTGGAGGGTTCTGCAAACGTGTTCCTTTCCTGTCAGCATTGGTGTTCAGCTGCTTGAATAAGACGTTGGATGATGTAAATGTCTATTTATTTTTTTTACTGAGATTTATCTGAATTCACCAAATACTGCATTTWAAAAAAAAAATCTGCTTGTGTATTGAAACTTCATYTCAGTTAAACTCGGTCTTATTAAAAAACTTCAATGTACTCGTAAGGAACTACTGGAAATATATATATTTTCTGTATTTCCAAAGTTAGGTAGATCGTGTTTGCTCTTACGTGCAYGTGTACTCCTCCCTCCTTCCTCCCCTCTTCTTTGAACATAGTTGAGGTTATTGATGGGTGTTGCTATAATCAGCAGCTGGAAAACTAGCAAAAGACCATTCCAGGTAAGGAGGAGTATATTATGCTCTGTGCATAATTCAGAGTGCAACAGAGTTAGACCTCTTAAAAAGATGACAAATGCCTTGATTAGGAAAAGTTTGAGCAAGATAATGCTGCAGGTAATGCCTAAACAGAAAAGGAGATTTTGGATTTCTTGACTCCTAACCTGTTACTCATACAGTATGACTAGATGTCTGAAAAATGTGTGCAAACAAGGAGTTCCTGAAAGTTGGGATGACAGAGTGTTTAACGAAGAACATTATATGTGTGACTTTTTTTATATTTTATTTATATATATATATGTATGTATAAAATAAAAGCTTTATTTACCTGGTCAAAATAACCAGGACAGCTGCTTTTGAAGGCTGAGTCATTTGAGGGGAATTGTATGTATTTTGGAAGTTTTGTCTCTGATTTAATTTCCTTATTTCTGCAAAGTGCTACAAATTCTACAGATCAAAAGAATGAAGGTGAAATGGCTGATCTCCATCTCTAATACTCAGTTTTTACAACGCTGCCCGTGAATGTGTGGGGAGGGAAGAGACATTCTGCTCTTTCTATTTGTGTCTACACAACTAGGTCCTATGTACTAGTAGTACAGAGTGTGATAAGAAAATGTGACTTATCTAGTTTTTAAGGTACAGCTGTCTTGAGACAAGCTGTTAGCAAAGTTTAGAGTTGGGCCAGGCATGATAACTGTATTTTTTTCTCWGAGTAACACTTAACAAAATGCCAGCTCTGAGCCAGCCCAACGCTTTGCTTTGTTTAGGGCTGCCCAAGCATATTATGGCATCTATCTCAGGTCACTAGCTGAAGCTGGGAAGTCMTCTGAGGTTTGTACATCAGTAGTCAGCTACAATATACTTTCTAATTGACATTTCTTTTTAATTTTTGTTTACTTAAATGATTTCCCCTAATGTTGCAAGTGTACAGCCTGCAGTAGGAAACTCAGCATGGAAAATGATGGAAGTCTCATTGTGYGAGTGAAGTGCTCCACCTGCCTGCATGGTGTACGGGCTTGCCACCAGCACTAAGGGCAGCRGCCACATTGCAAAGGTTGCTTCTAAGTGACACGATTAAATGTGATTGAAACCTTGCTGATTTCTGTAGGCAGAAAATACTCTGGCCTTTCCACGTTAAACACAAGTTGGGGATTTTTTCTTTTTTTAGAAGTGCCTTTTATCATCAGTATTGTTGTTTTACTGTATTACCAAATGAAATAATGGGAAATGGGATGTTGGTGCTAGAGGCCTATGAATGGTCAGATACCTTGTTAGGTGTCTGTTTTGAAACCTCAGCTGCTAAATTCAGTGTGGGTTTTTGGTTACCTTCCTCCCTTTAAACAGGAATTGTTGCAGTAGTGTTTGCTTATTTATTTTGAGTTCTCGATTCTTAGTACAATAATAAAACTGTTGTGGAATTTTTGACCCTGTGTATCTTAACAACAAGATGTCTAATCCTAAAACTAGGCCCCTGTATGCTTTAGTCTTTAWATTACTGAAGATTGACTGCTGTAACCAGTGATCAGAATGGCCCATTTTCTTGACTGTGGTAGGATACATGTCCTATTATTTTCACAGCTGTAAGTAACTTGTTGAGGCTTTCAGCTTCAGCTGCTCAGTGCTGGTGAATCATGATGTGAGCACAGTTTTCTAGAACCTGCCATTCTGCAAGAGACTTTTCTGCCAACAATTAGGATGATAAAAGCGGAGTGATGAACCCCCTACTTTAGTAATGTAATACTGCAGTTTGGAGAGAGCATACTAGCACTACTACACTTTAAAAAACAAACAAACCCCTATAATTAAGTTTGTTTTGGTCATCATAACTTTACACTTGACTAGTAGCTTCTGGAAATGAGTAGCACACTTGYATCGTCATCTTTCTAGCAATGACAACACACGTTTAGGTAGTAGTAACTGAAGGGAAAAAGGCTGTTGTGATGGAGCTGCTGCATGGGATCCTCTGTGGGTTCTGAATAATCCTTGTGGTGAGCTAAGCAGCTGCAGTATCTTCCTTGAAGATCACTCAGCAACGAAGAGCATGGTGATGTTGAATCTCCTTAGCCCCCATTGAGATAGTACAAGACAGGTGCCTGGTATTTGTTATGTGGTGTTGATTGGCTTAGAATAGTTCTTATACCTCTCTACTGGCAGGCAGCACATGTGAGTAAGCAGTGTTTGTGGTCTGCTGAGATCCTCTTCATCTGTTCTACTTAAATGGTGGCTTTTGTGCTTTTAGTCTATAATTGTCAATATTAGAAACACTTTTTTTCTTTGAAGAAATTTGGCTAGGGAAAATATACTTATTTTAAATGATCTTGCCTTCCCTGAGAAGAGGGAGAAGAATTGGAATTAATTAGCAGTACTATCAGTATGTGTTATGAAAGTGATTGAGAGAGTGAAGACAAAATTCAGTTTGTCAGAAGAATCTTTATCAGATAAGAGGCAATGGTTGCACATAAGTCTTTTCTGAGTGGTGGGAGGACATGAATGTCCTGATACCAAAATGATCTGCAAAGTCAGTGGAGTCTGACTTCTGCCCTAAGGAGTTTGTATTTGTGCTGGCTGTAGAGCAAATTTTGGTGCATTTATTGAAATAGCTCGGAGGAGGTTTCCCTATGAACATTTTACCCAATGTGGTCCCTGCATTTTTAAGTGAATCACAATTTCAGACTACTAACCTTTTATTCTAATTCTCTAAGTGTTTTATGTTGTTCTGGAGGCTTTTGTCTTGCTGCTAAGCCAAAGCCGTGCGTGGTGTTGATGACTTTCTTGGTAAATGCTCTTTCTTACTCAAAGCTGAAATTACACCTCTTTGGAAGACTTGGCAAGGGCGTCCTGCGTGGTAGGGTGTGTGTTTTCATGCTTCCATGGGATTGTTAGTGTTGGCAGTACAAAAGCTTTACTGTGGGGCTTTAGATTCCTTTTTGCTCTCTTTTCCCTGAAGAATTTGATGCAACATGCCACATTCTAGGAGCAGGGACAGAGAAAGAATAGTAAGATACAGAGGTTATCACATCTGAGGAAAAGCCAACGTGATCTAATAAATATTACATGCTAGGACTGAGGAGGAAGGGTTGGAGGAAGCATAGTTCTTGTTAAGGACCAGAAATACTAGATTATTTTTGGGTGTTGGTGATCATCAATATCAGGTGACCAAATGCAGAGTACTTGATGCACCCTTCCTAGCATGTGTATGGCTTGGAAAGGAAGCTCTTGTTCCTCCTGCTGTGTGCTCATAAGTGAGCAGAGTGTAGGGTCTGCTGGCTTAATTCTTGCAACAATTTACTGAGGCTAAAAGTAACTAGACATCAGTGTTTGGGATTTTTTTTTTTCTTTTCACTCTCTGTTGAAAAAACAAACTGTGATGCCTCACTTTGAAAAGTCATAGAGTGGTGTTTTGTTTTCATATATGTTTCTAACAGTTCCAAACACAAACTTAACACTCTGGATAAGGAATGTAGTACAGGTTTGCCTCTCGTGGACAGGACCACAGAAATACTTGAATGTAATCACCTTCACTATGTAATCTCTTATGCTTCAGGAAGCTATGTGGTAAGTTAATAGCTTTGTATATGAAACTCTATTAAATAAACATGGCTGCTTTTGAAGACGTGAGCAGTGCTTGAACTTGATTTCTGACTGTGGGGCTTTACATATGTTAAGTTTTGGAAGACTCTCCTGTAAGCTTTAGTAGGACAGGACTGTGTTCAGCTTCTTGATTATGCCTTTCCTTCAGAGGGTTAGCAGTGTGCTCAGAACTAATGAGTAAACATTGACCATATATGAGCATGAAAACAGTGAGGTGCTTGATGTAACGAAGCAAGGGAAACTGGTGCTTGAACTGGCATTATATGCATTAGAAAAGCAAATTGATTAGCTACACTTAATCATTTTGTTCTTACTGATATGCTCAAGAATGTACCTTTTCTTCTTAATCTGGTGAGTTTTGTGTGCCTGAGTTATCTTCTTTTTCTGAAAAGGACTAGCACTACTGAAACCAGCTATTCTGAGTTTGCACATCTTCATCTAACCACCACCAAAATGTCTTTGTAATAAACTGTTAAAATAAAATTCCTAGGTCTCCAGGTTTTTAAGTGTAGTAAATAAATGCCTTTTTATCCACAGGCATTAGTTGTTGATTAGTGGGTTTGATGTAACCAAAGGACTTGGAAGATGAAAGGAGAAGTATGAAGTACTGCAAATGTTTGAGAAATGAAAATTGAAGCAAGCCTTAAATACAGGAAGTTATTTTATTTCTGAGCTGCTGAAAAATAGTAAAACACCTGAAGAAAACAGCTTAACCTGGAACTACAAAACAAGACCTCAGGCAGGGTCAATTTGTTACTGCTGTATGTTATGCAGCTATGCAAACAGCTGGTCTCATACTGTTTATAAAGGAGCTGAGAACTCGTTGAGTTGGCCCGTTGCGCTCTGCACTGTCATGCGGTATTAAATGTGCGATTAGGTGCTTTGGGTTTTTGGCTTAATGAGCAAGGGATTGGGAGCCTAATGTAACTCGGGCTCAAAAAGGGTGTAGGTATGAAACAGAGAAGCTGAAGTGGGAAGGATAGGGTCTAAGGAATGAGGTAGGAAGACGTTTGTAACCCTGTAAGTCAGGAAAAAAAGTCATGAGTAACTTAATTGCAGCAATGTTATTGAAAGCCTGGCAAAAAGAAATTAATGAAACATATAGCTGTATTTCTGAAGGGCATAGTAGAATGGTTTCTACTGTTCTGTTTAGGCTCAAACGTTTTCTGAAACTTCAGTCAACCTTTTTCCCCTGACTGCTGCTTTCTGTCATGTCAGAGGATGAAGTTTTTGCTGCTGCAGCAGAAGTACCTGGAATACCTGGAGGATGGCAAGGTCCTGGAGGCACTTCAAGTTCTACGCTGTGAACTGACACCACTGAAATATAATACAGAACGCATTCATGTCCTCAGCGGGTAAGTGTTTGCCTTTTGAGAGCTCTTTCTATGGAATTTGCTAAGGAGTTCTGTAGCTGGGGATTAAAAATGACCTGGTAGGTGTTTTCTGGTCTAAAATACTAAAAAATAGCCTTTCGGAATAAATGTTAATGAAATAGTTTCATAGTTTTTCATCATGAAGGCAAAGCATTTTTGTCCATTTTTGGGCCTTGCTGTAGTCCTGTTAAAATCGACAGAGGAACCCTAGTGAAGAGGCATGCTTTCTCTACCTGCCTCTCACCTCTTTTACTGACATTTTTAAAGAAGCTTGAACTCTTTTTTTAAAAGAAAAAGTTCTTATCCTGTTGATTAATGTGCAGTAGTGAGGTGCTTGAGAAACTGTTCAAAATAGTGAGTAAAAAAGAACATTCCATAGACAGTGTTCTCTTTTAGATGAAAGTAATTTGTTTATGATTTACTTTYGTAGTACTGCAACCCAAATTAATACATACGTGTATTTGGTTGTCTGTCTTTGAAAAGTCTTCGTAAGTCATCTTGTAACTGAATAAGTATTCTTAAGTAGGAAAATATCATTTAGTCTGTTTGATTCYTGTCTTCACCAAAATCTGCTCTGTCTGCTTTGTTGGTTGTTTGATTTTTGTATCGGTGATTTATAGACATTAGTTTCAAAAAAAAGATGTGTGGTTGTGTGGAATATTTTTTTGCTGTTATTCCCATCACTCTTTAAGTCATCTAATTTCAAAGCATTTAGAACTGGAAACAAGAATGCTGTGATATATATCCTGTTTAAAATTAGAAAGAATGATTCCAGGAAGACCTGGTCTGTTAGTGTCTGTGTGCTCTCTCCTTTTTTTTTTCTTTTCTTTCTTTCCTTTTCAACAGGTATCTGATGTGTAGCCATGCAGAAGACTTGCGTGCAAAAGCAGAGTGGGAAGGGAAGGGAACAGCTTCCAGATCTAAGCTTTTGGATAAACTCCAGAGTAAGAAGTTCTAGTATTTAGAATTTATGCCCATCTTTGTAAATCCAGTACATTATACATAGTTGCATCTCCCAGGGAATTGATTTTTTTTTTAATTGTTTGCCTGTTAGTGTTCCTGTAGTTTCTGATTAAGGAGGGTGAGGGTAGGTGCCTTGAGCACTTTGCTCTTAATCTTAATGTTGTCTCTGGTAGACGTTGTAACAGCAGCCCTGGCCTCTTAGCTCTGTTGTATGCAAAAGCAGTATAACCTGGTGTAGGATTTTTCTTCCTTTCTATACCAGCTGTGTTGTACATGACAGCTAAATGTCCTATAACCACCCTAATACTAGTGCTACTTGATAAAAACTGTGCTAGAATAATGGTTTTGCCTTGCAGCCTTGTGGCTGATGTAATATGAATTTTGCAGCTCTCACAGTATTCTGTGTTTGGGCAGTATTAATGTTAGAGTCRAGCAAGAATGCTGTGTTCCACAGTTTTATAGATTTTTCTTAAATATGGTTTTGATTAAGTTCATATAAACGATGCTTGTTGGCCAGGACAACATACTGTAACTACAAACGTTCTGGGTACAGCTCTGCATTCCAAATATTTATTCTTCCCATTTCAGCTGTGTAGCTACAAACTTCACAAGCTATATGCACTCTTTCTCGTAGCATTTAAGTTCTAATCATTTAAGAGTCTTCCCAAAACACTCAAATTAAATATGCTRTTACTTGTAACTTGATTTTGATTATCTTTTTTATATAACTCTTCTCAAGCATACCTACCCCCATCAGTGATGCTTCCTCCAAGGCGTTTACAGAATCTGCTGCGTCAGGCTGTGGAGCTGCAACGGGATCGGTGCCTATATCATAATACCAAACTAGATAATAATCTAGATTCTGTCTCGCTGCTTATAGACCATGTTTGTAGTAGGTAAGAAACCTTTGCTATTTTTAAAATGGATGTCCATATCTCTTTGTCTTTTGCTGAGTATTGCACCTAGTGTTCAAAGGAATGTGAATACAGTTTTGGTTGGGTTTAAGGGGGTTTGACTGGGAAGAGCCAGTGTCTGTTAAACCAGTAGAAGAATGGAGTATAAAATGCATGTATAGAAGACTTTGATAACTGGCTGTGGGATAATGGGGACAGAATGAGGCTTCGATTTAATCAGATTTATATAAATAGAATATGTTGCAATGCTATGGCTTAAAAGGTTGTTGCTTGTAACTTTGGGCATTTTGTCTGTTATTTTTCAATACCTGATTGCTGTGTTATAACTGGAGAATCACTCCTGTGTTACTTACCCAGACTGTCTTCAAGCTCCGTAGCTTGCAGAAAGCCTGCTAAAGCCTACTTCATGAGGTCATCTTTCATCTTCAGTTCTTATTAGTAATACAGTTTTAGATACAAACTAAAAAGGGAATGTCTGTTGCATGTTTCTGCTCTGTTCTAATACATAACATGATTGATAAAGCTCTATTTTTCTCAAATTTGTAAGTGTATAAACAGGAACACCTTTAATTCATATAGGGTAAAAACTAATATATAAAGAAAATGCTGCTTCTGAACCTTAAAAATGCCACCTTCCTGTGGACATCAGACAGGAAGACTTTATTTCATTCAAATGACTAATTTGGGTGCTCTTCTTCAGCCGGGGAAAACTCGGTTGAGGACGAACCTGGTGCCCTGTGTAGCTTTTGTGGGAGACTGCTGTGCATGATATAATTGGAGGGGAAAAAAGGCTATAAGCTATAGGGTCCTAMGGCACCTAGAAAAAAGAGGCAGATATGATACCCTAGTGTGCTTTTTGTGTAGCAAGTTAGCACTTGGTTGTGCAGGGGAGCTTTTTCCAAGGTAGCYGAGTATTCCACTTCCTATCTGAAACTTGTTTTTAGGAACTTTCTGAACTCTAACTGCTTTTACTTCTGTTCTCCAGTTACTTGGATTTATTTATCTATTGACAAATTTTGATAGTACTTCATCTCTGTCTTATTACTTGAAGCTGTCTTAGTTTTAGAAATTAGTGTCTTGGGCACTTTGTCTACTTGAGTGACTTAGACTATTTTCTAGTTTGCATTTTTGCTACATCTGATCCATGCTATTGCAGCAGTTTCTTGTGTGTGTGAACATACAGGTGACTTTCCAATTTTAAGAGCTATTGCACATGACAAGACACAGGAATTCTGGCTTCCCTACCTCAGAAATGAGTCTTAACGTTAGACTAACTGCAAGTAGTGATCTTTAATTTTAGTCATTCTGCAAGTACATAAATAACACTTGATGTTCTGTAGCTGGTTTGTGATTAATCAACCCCAAAAGAGCATTCAAAGAAATTGTGAAAAATCTTTTACTGAAGATGAACTAGATTAGAACTAGGTTAGAACTGGATATAAAAGATAACCATATGCACCAAATCTGGATTTGAATTTCACCCATCTGAATCTACTTGCTGACATAAAAGTGTAGCAAGGTGTTTTTCAACTTAGATGGTGCTCTGTAGGCTAGCACAATTGGTATGTATGTGTACGTACTCGTGACTGTAATTCCCTCCACCCTCCCCAAAAAGAAACACCCCAAAACAAAGGCTTCCATTCTGTCCTCAACTCAACCTGTTGTACCTACCTATTGCAGGGGTCAGAGATCAGTATGTGGGGCGCTGTACATGCTGCAATGCTTGGGCATAATGAGGTGAGTTAAAGACAGTGGAAGCCAAATTTTGATTAAAATCACGGAAGTAACAGTCTAATAGTTTTGACAATTTAAGTTCTGTAATGCTTAAATGGTAGAACACTGACAACTTCCACGTTTTTGAGTTGGGACTAACCCGTATTGAACTCGTGGCAGTGCTTGGCTCGAGCACACTCAGATCGCACTAGGGAGCTCAGCCCTGGGCTGAAACTTAATCCCTTGGTAAGGGTGGGAGGTAGGAGGGAGCAGCTGCTTGCAGTGAGGGATTTTTCCACCTTATTTTGTCTGAGACTGATAATAGAAGATAGGTGAGGGCAATTGTTTAATTTGTATTTGCTTTATGTTTACTCTGAGCTTTAAAGCTGTTCTCTCTTTGTGTAATTTCGCCCTCTTTCTTTCATGCAAGTTAATTTGCTTTTAGAAGTAGACATTTGAAGCCCAAGAGATGAATGTTGCTGCTTTTTAGGTACTGGGCTAATGTAGCATTTTTGGAAAACAGTATCTTAATGACTTAAAGGTTAAATCTTTCATTGTATGCACTAGGACTAGTGAAGCTGTTGCTTGAGATCAAATTTAGAATTTAAAACTTAGTAAATACAGTAGCAGATGACTTTCARAAACCTTTTATCAGTATGTGAACAGCATGATTTAAGTTCATGTGCAGAACAATTTGTAATGCAATACTTAAAATGTAAAACCTCTTTGGACCACATTAATACCCAATTATCTAAAATGGAAACTGTTAAACTTCTATATTAAGTTTCTTGTTTTGAGATGGCTGCTAATTTATTCTGCAGAAGGTTTCCTTGATATAAAGTCCACAATTTGTCCAGTCAGTCACTGGGTTCTGTACCTCCTCTGCTAAGTGAGGAGAACCTCTCTTGAGGGACCTCTGATCTAACAGGATTGGGATGTATGTGCAGCAACTGTATCAGCTCTGCCTGTTACCTTTCTAAGGATATAAAGGCTACTTAGAGTAAAGAAGGGGCACTGTGGCATTACTCTGCTGCTTTTTTTTAGGACTTTACCTTGGGCTTTTTTCCTTTAAATGGGAAACTTACTGTTTTTTTCCTTCAGTAAAATATTCTGAAAAGACTTTCCTTGGCACTGTGTCCCCTGTACTTTGTAGGATTTAGGGATAAAGACTCTTTTACCTTCAAGAAGCAAGATCTTTTACCTTTGGTCTGAAGAAAAACATTAACTACTGGCTTATGGCTAAATAATGATGAAATCCTCTTCCTGTAGGAGCATGGACTTGTTTGAGGGTTTGCCTGCCTCCCTCCACTCCCAAGAAGACCCATTCTTGATCATGGGTGYGGCTTTTTGGTGTGTGCTTAGCGGCAACCAGGCAGCTCCTGGTCAGCTTTGAGCAGGAGCAGCCCAGCCTTGTCTCTGTGTAAGAGGGAGCAGATGGAGCCAGGGAAGCCGAGCGCAGGTGTGGATGTGTGTGACTTGTGGTTTRTCCCCTACGATCATAGGGGTTGTTGAGTGTTGCCTCAATGCTCTTTCAGCACCAAGCTAGTAAATGTTTTCTAGTAAATGAAAATGTAGTAGAAGGGCTTAGCTTATTAAGCAGAACATTTTCTGGTAGGAAGCAGTTTCCCCAACGTCTGTGAGCTTTGTACATCCCAACTTTGTTTTAAAATGAAATTAAATGAAGGGTTATTTCCCTTTTGATCTCCAGCATTAGGTACACCCATGCACCAATGCTGTGTTTCCTTGCTGTTGTAGTGCCCTTGTGTCCCATCGGGGCTGGTTTTGCACTGCCACGCTGAGTAGCATTTAAAAGCTCGCATAAAACCAACCCCCTCCAGGGTCCCTCCTGTTTAGGAAAAACCCTAAACAGTTTAGCAGTGCCTTTCAGTGTGTCTGAACAATAAACCTGTAGTAGCTGCAGGATTGCTTAGAAAAGCAGTCTGTGTAAAAAGCCTGTGCTTGTTTTTAGGTTAGCTTTCATTCTTCTACAGTGGATGACCTGTAAATAAAATAACTTTTTTTTTTTAACCTGGACTTATTCTTTTGGCCCTTTGCTCTTTCTTGGTGTAACTGGATGGTTAAATACTAGCTACAGTGAAAAGTTTGGTTTGTTTTATTCTTTCTATATTTGAATTCATCGTATAATACTTAGTTTGATAAGCATTTAATGTTCTATGAAATCCACAGTATTTTGTAGGGGGAGAACTGGGTGAARGCTTTTAATGGTGCCCTGCTAGTTATGCTTAGAGAGGCTCTGTGTGGTATTTTTGCCCGGAGAGTGAGGTGAGAGAGGRGAGACAGAATGAAGGCAAAAATCCCTGACTTATTGTAAGATCGTAAACAAGAAAGGTGTTCTCTTATTCAGCTCTTCTGTGAGAAACAGATCTGGCAATACCTTAGATACTTACAGTAGCTGTATATATAATGCACTGAATATTTTCTGTAGGACTCTAYGAGGCTAGGACTAGAATACTCCTGTGCTCACAGAAGTATAGGTCAGGTTTATTCCAACCTACATGAAAATGTAGTTCATTATGGGGAAAAAGTTATCAATTAACARCAATCACTTGGCAGCCTGATGTTTTCATCATCTAAACTTCATCCTCTATTTGTTTGAAGCAGCTGCTTTCTAAACAGTTTGGTTTCACATCTAATATATATTTGTTAAAAAGTCATGTATCTAGCAGTAAAAATGAGGTCTTGCTACCTACTTTCTGAAGCTGTTTAATACATCMTTTTTTTCTTTCTCAGGAAACAGTTCCCATGCTATACACAGCAGATACTCACGGAGCACTGTAATGAAGTCTGGTTCTGTAAATTCTCCAATGATGGCACTAAACTAGCAACAGGATCAAAGGACACAACTGTTATTATATGGCAGGTTGATCCAGTAAGTTTGCAACATCTTCTAAAACGTGCATGGCTTGCCTGTCTCTCCCTACTTTTTCTCACTGAGATGGCCTGTGTGTTTTTTTGTTTTGTTTTAATCTTTATTTTATAAAGCAGCCTAAAACTTTTTGTAGCCTGAAGGTTAGGGCTTCTCTTCAGGTTGTGAAAGATGGAAGATGGTCTGGTCCAGGTTAGTTAAGACAATTGGAAAGCAGATGCCTGAATGTAAGAGGAGTTTTAGTGCCTGAGCCCTTGGTTGCTCTGAGGCAGGAGTTCCCTGTGCCTCTAACCAGCACTGCTGGGTAGAGGCTGCTGGGGCCCTTGGGGTGCTTGGTGACTTGAAGGCCTTAAGGAGAAGCCGTGGCTGAGAGTGGAGGGAGGAGAATGGCTGTGAGCAGAAATGGCCTTTTATTCCTTAATGCTTTCTTGTAAATGACTCTTTGATAAGAAGGCTTTTAGTGTATATACATGACTAACCTTTTTCACATGTTTCTTTTAGCCGACTACTACTAACATTTTTAGGTCTAAATGCTTTGGTCCACCATCTGTCACATTATTAAGTGGTGTGTGCTGAACTGAAACTGCATCAGTCCATCACTCTGTGCTAGGTGCCACTCTGTGATTTGTCTGTGCTTGAGGTGAAGATTTAAGTACCTGCTAGAAACTACTGACACATCAAAGTATATCCAGCCACTTTCTTGCAGGCTGCATTTCTGATTTTGATACTGACATAGGCACTATTCCTCTTRTATGAAATATAAATCTTGCTGTTGCTGCAGGATATCTTTCCTGCTTGTATATATTACTATATAAATAAAAAGCAGTGAATAAAGATTGTTTTAATTGATTAAATGTCAGTGTTTCCTAACTGGAACTAGCTAACAAACCTGGGCCTGTGCACGCAGTTTCTGAAGTTGTGCTCATGAAACGTTATCAGAAATCAAGTTCTTAAGTATTTTTTTAACTGCACATCTACAATGTGAGGTGATACATGGGAGATGAAAGGTGTTTGCMGTCTCATAACTTCTTTTTAAGAATTGGAGAGCTGAAGCCAATCCTGTTCCCGGCTGCAGGTTAGTAAGCTGTATRATTGAGTCCCTTGGCTATTAAGAGGAAAGATGAAAGAACCTACAACCTGTCTCCATGTACGTAGTTGTTATATAGGTGTTGAAAACAAGCAAAAAGTGCCTTGAGTTCTTAAGGTCTGCTGCTGTTGTGTTTTGCCTGTTGCTAGTTTTAGTGTGTGTGCTGGGCTGAAAGATGAATATCAACATTGTTTTGCTTCTGTAGCTGATTTAGGAAATTTACTGTTTTTTTAAATAAACTGAAAACTAAATGACTTAGGATGAAATATGTATGCTCTGCTYAAGTTCGTCTCCCCCTTAATCGGAGGGGGTTGGCATTCCCTTGTCTGTCATATATCCTCTGTGACAGAGCATCTTGGGCAAGGAGATAAACTACTGCAGGTCCAAGGTCTGCAGACAGCTTGGTCCAAGGTCCAAGTTGGTCTGCAGAACAGGAGGAATATGTAAAGAAGATGGAAATATGGAAATATGGGAAGAAGAGCTTTCACTTGTCCATCTTTTTTCTGTGTGTGCTGAAGATCTCTCTGCAGAGTCCTCAGAGGACTCTTGACTGTGGTCAGCAGAACTGTCAAGGCCGCAGGCTGAGAGTTGCTGAATCCTTGTGCTGCYGCTGCTTCCCCTGTGAAACAGCGGTCCGTGTCGCTCTGCTAGCAGCAGTTCTTCCTCTTCAGAGTCCTAAGTTAGGAGGCGCTCTGCTTAGAACAAAGCAAAAGAAGAAAGATAAAGGACTGTTTCAGAAATCAAGTTGTATCTTCAACTCGGACTGCTTTGAAAAGCAGTAGGCTTTTCTCCCTCCCCTGCCAAGGACGGAGGGGAGGRAAAAAGAAAAGCTAATTGTTCTTTTTCTAAGAAGTTTCACAAAAACTGTACACATTTTAGCAGACTCTGTTCTGTTTCCTRTATATGTGTGCTGCTGTTGAAAGGGTCAACTACTGAACTGAAGCGAGGTCTGTGCTGGGAAAGCTGGTGTGTATGTGTGGTGGTTCTGCAAGCAGCTGGCACTGCAGCTTGGGGACAAGCTCCTTGAGTGGCAAGTTCCTTGGACAAGGCAGCAATAGGATAGTGGTGGCACAGAGGTGATAGCGAGAGGCTCTGGGTGAGCAAAGCAGGTGTGTGTCTTTGCCCGCTAAACCTAGCACAAGAGATGCCCAGCTTGCCCTAGGCAGCACTTCTGAAATTRGAACATAGCTCAAGCTCTTAATATTTTTCCATAAAACCTTTTGCTTGAGCAACACGTGCAAGATAGTTTCAGCTTGTACAAGCAGTGTTTAGAGGTTTCTTAGCATTCACRAAGGTTTTAGTTAGTAGCTCTGCTGCTTAACCATAGCTTAACCAGGTTTCTAGCATGTCTGTGCTGTATTTTAAGAGGTAGCTTCATTCTGTAAACCGTGGATAATTGTACTTTTTCTGTTCCGGCAAATGTAGAGACTTGTCCTAGCATGCAAGGTTCCTATGGTATCAAATGTTACATTACATACCTACAGTGTGTGCAACAGCCTTTTGTGAGTTCAACGTACAGAATTATGGAAGATTGGAACAAACACATTATTACACTTGCTCTGCATGCTTTGCTTTCTTTTTTTTTTTTTATGGCTCTACTTGGTAAACTAGCAGCTACTGTTTGAGAAGGAACTCATGACTTGAAAGAAGGTACCAAGTTGCCCAGTGCAATCTTTCTGTGATGTACTTGGTCATAGCGTGTATACRGAATTTCATAGGAGATCATTTGCATTATCTTAACAGCTTCTCTCGTGTTTCAGGATACTCATCAGCTAAAACTGCTTAAGACGTTAGAAGGTCACGCGTACGGGGTCTCTTACATTGCTTGGAGTCCTGATGACAACTACCTTGTTGCCTGTGGCCCAGATGATTGTTCTGAACTTTGGCTCTGGAATGTACAGGTGAGTGGTGTCYAAGAGTAAAAATCAAAGCCCATGGGCCTGCTTGTTGATTGTTCAAGTATTTAAATATGTAACTATAAAGGAAGTCATTTCAGAAAGCTTGTTCTACAAAGGTGTCAATRTAAAAGACTCGTGTGTTTCTCCCAATTTTGAAAAATGAAAGTAACCTATGACAGCCTAAAAATTATGTACACATAACACTAGTGAATGAGTTAYTGGTAGTTTTTGAGAAAAGATGAATTAAATCCATAGGACTTTTCGAGAGCTCTGGAGGAGAATAACAGAGAAAACTAATCAAGTAAAACAAAGGGCAGAAGCATTAGCTGAAGGGGAGCAGAGAATTGAACAAGTAGCAAAAATAAAAGCTAARCTGTTTGTTGTCTTGTGTAGCCCTCCCAAAGATTTTAGAGGAAGGTCCATAGAGACTTAAATTCACCAGCTCAGAACTGTCTTTTAATTACGTGCTATAGAATTTGGCCCCTTTTTTAAGTTTAAAACCCTATTTTGCTGTTGATTGTTATGGGCAGCTCTGTTTATAAAAGCTTCCTCTCCCTCTCTTGCTACATYGTCTGTCTTATGTTGTCGTGTACTCTGGAGTAATTTAGCTTTCTAAAACATTGCTTTCTTTTTTTCATTATTTAGAGAGTTTTCAGCCATTTTAATTAAATCGGCTCAGTGAAGAGCACCAGAGCTGGCATAAAGGAGAGGAAATAAGTACTTACAGTGGAATAGTAGCATTATAATTTAGGGATGAAAGCAAAATTTTGGCATGGAGAGCTTCAGCTCAGGAAGAAAAATGTTCTAAAGACTCTGTTACTCCCCCTTCTTACTGAAATCTATTTTTATCGTCTCCATAGTTTTTTTAATCTTCTGCCACCTCATCTTCCATATTTTTATTCTATTCCATATTTATGTTTTATTGCTTCTCTTGCATTTTCCTCCAACTTCTTTAAAATTCCTTTTTAAAAAAAATATATTTAAGTTTTGTGACACACCTGCCATATATTTCATCTCTCCTGATTAGAGGCAGGAAAAAAAAAGATGTCCCGAAGATCAGAAGTCCCTGGAGATGTTTTAGCTGGGTGTTTCAACAGTATTTGTGGATTTACATTTCTTTCTAGTTCTAATTAATACGAGGAAACGAAGCTACCGCCAGACGTGGCGTGTGTCAGGTGAATGTATCCATGCCCTTTGGGAAGGGGGTCTGCTGGCTGGTGTAAGGCTGTGCTGTCTTTGTTTATTTTGCAGACAGGGGAGCTAAGGACAAAGATGAGCCAGTCTCATGAAGACAGTTTAACAAGTGTGGCCTGGAATCCTGATGGGAAGCGCTTTGTCACAGGAGGTCAGCGTGGACAATTCTATCAGTGTGTAAGTACTCGGCATCTGGCCCCTGGCAAACAAAGCAAGGCATGGAGGGTTTGTCACTGTCACATGGGAGGTACATGTTTCAGGGTTTTCTGTGTGTGTGTGCATGCTAAAAAAAATAAATTAATAAATTAATATACACACATATATAAAAATCTTTGTAATCTTTAGTAATTCAAAAGAAGCAATGCATTAATGCTAGTTTTCCAGCAGCACTTCTCCTTGTTTTGTAGCAATTAGAAGGGCTCAAGCAGCTCTTAGAGTCTTCTACTTAAAAGAGAATTTTTGGTCTGGGAATCTTTATTCATAGCTGCYCTGGAAAATACGTTAATTAAAAAGTAATGCCTTTGCCCACAAAAGTTCATAGTGTGTTCATAACTCTGGCTATGTTGTTTTATTTTCTGTATGCTGTTTCTGCTTAGCATAAATGGAAATTCAAAATGGAAACCTTATTACTTGAAGTGCTAGTTTTGGGTGGTGATTCAGTCTCACACCTATTCTCCATTAGTTGTTACCAGAATCAGTGCCCTGGTAGTATGCAAAGCTCAGTCCCCACCAAGGCAAGGCAGTAGATCTGTTCCCTGATGAGAACTAGATGTTCCATTATCAAGTATTGGGAAATAAGTGGAGAAACAGATCCTCAATTCTCCAGGACGGATAACTGCAATAACCCTCGGTTACCACCTGGCATGTCCCAGTCTAAGTCATTTCTGCTGCAGGCTAATACCACTTTCTGTGACAACTGTGTGAAGAGAAGACAAAAATTACATGTGTCACGGAATTCAAAATCCAAGGCTAACGGTTCTTTCTCTCTCTCTCTCTCTCTCTCTCCTCTGCTCAGGATTTAGATGGTAATCTCCTTGACTCCTGGGAAGGGGTGAGAGTCCAATGCCTTTGGTGCTTAAGTGATGGGAAAACTGTCCTAGCATCGGACACACACCAGCGAATTCGGGGTTATAACTTTGAGGATCTTACAGACAGGAACATGTAAATACCTTTTTTTTTCTGTTTTCTTCCTGGTTCTTATCATGAGAAGATTAAGAATGGGATTATGGGCAAGGATGGGAAGCATGTTCTTGCTATGCCAATATATAATATGGAGCAGGAATTAGTGAGAGATGCAGCAAGGAGGATAAGGTCAGTTGTTAGAAACAACTTTCTAAGCATTGGAGTGGATTTCTTGTGCATGTTTCTACATCCTGTTCTAGAGTTTTCTTCGTACCTCACAATTCCTGGCACATTTGAGATCTGTGTAGAAGTTGGGAGTTGGATTTGAGTCTTGGGATTCATCATGCTGTGAGCAGACTGTTGCAGGCCTAGCTTGTATTGAATACGTACCTAATTTCAAATGCAGTTCCCACTTCAAAACTGTTTTTCCCTGATAATGCTGCAGAAGCAGGGTATACCTTTTGGTTTTGATTTTGCATTATTATTTGTGGGGTTTTTTTTGCATTATTTGTTTGTAAATGTACTTTTAACASTGATTCATTTTGTAATTTCAGAGTACAAGAAGATCACCCTATTATGTCATTTACTATTTCAAAAAATGGCCGTTTAGCTTTGTTAAATGTAGCAACTCAGGTGAGTTGATAAATGGAAGTGCAAATAAACCTGCTTACAGCCAGTAAACCTTTTAGAATGTTTYGATGGAGCCTGGGTTATTTGGCATTAATCAGTTGCATTTCACATAATATGAAGATCTCAGTGCTCACAAATACAGAATGGCATTCTCTGACAAGAAGGTGATTTTGTTCCTAATAGTGATTTTTTCAAGWGGATTTGTAGTCAAGAATTTCATACTATGAACTGTATGCTGTTGAATATTAACATCTGAGTGTAGTATTCAAAGCCAACTACAGCGAAGATTTTTATTTCTTCTCAGAATTATGGACTTCTGGGAGTTATTTTTTGGTGATGTTCMTTTTTTTGAGTAAGAATAGAAGCTTTTGAAATAGAAGGGACTGTAGATTGGAAATTTGAGCTAGTAACGTGGTATAATTAGTAATTTAGCTTTACTTGCTTGAGCAACAGTAATGAAGTTGGCTGAAGTAGTGTATCAATCATTTTTCATTGTTTGAAATATTTCAAAATAATACAATAGATAATGTTTAATAATATCTCCTATACTTCTTATTCCCAGGGAGTTCACTTATGGGACTTACAAGACAGAGTTTTAGTGAGAAAATACCAAGGTGTTACGCAAGGATTCTACACAATTCACTCGTGTTTTGGAGGTCATAACGAAGACTTTATTGCGAGTGGCAGTGAAGGTAACATCATCCTTTGTTTTGCAGAAAAGTGACACACCATTTATGTCCTGTACCTACTCATATCATGTTCTTGCGAACAGCTGTCATCTCGAATGCAAGTAACTGATTCATTAAATAACCATTTGAGGAGCAGAGAGATTGTTACATATTTCAAAAAAATAAGTGTGTTAGCAGGGGTAAAAAAAAGTCTTCAGAGAGATCAGTGCTGGTAGAAAGCATAGTAAATCTTCTCTCTTGTTCCTTTCAGACAAAGAATATCTGCGTAATTTTAAATAAAAGTAAGGGGAGTCTTCTAGAGTTTTTTTTGTGGTATGACTCTTGACACTTGGGCTCATTGTTTGTGTCAAAAGTACTTTTTCTTGCAAGTAATACCTTTATTTGCCTGTTGAAGACAGGTGTGGGCAAATTATTTTAATTTCAATGTGGCTGTCATAATTATGAAAGGAGTGGTTTCCAGTGAAGCAGTTAGTGACGTAGTATTTATGGTAGGGTATCGTGGTGATCAAAGGCTTGTGGTGTCTGTTTAAAAAAACAAAACCAAAAAAAAAAAAAAAAAAAACAAAACAAAAAAAAAAAAAAAAAAAAACCCCACCTCTTTGTAGCCAAAGTAGGAATTAGTTAATGACACATGTCTTGAATTGGTGTGGATCTGTTGCTTATGTAGTCCCATTACCTCCAATCAAGGTCAAGTAAGATTCAAGCCTATAAATTCAAAATTCAAGCAAAAATTTTCACATACTAGATAAGTAATCAATGCTTGTACTCAGTAGATCACAGCTGWTAAGATATAGGAAGTGTTGACCAGGATAAAGGGACTTGGAAAATACCCAGATGCATCTAAAATCACACCAACCCTCCCCTCTGACCAGACCCAGTGTAAGAGAGTGGCTGAAGGGCAGCATCTCCGATCCAGTGTCCCCCTCCTCATCTTTGAGCCACATTCTTGGTGTGGGGCTTGAGTACCAGAAAGTTCAGGCTATGTGTGTAGAGCTTTACTGCTGATGTGCACATATGGGTTTGGATGCTACAGAGCACCAATTTATTTTCTTTTTTCCTTTCATCCCTTTGTGGGCAGTTTGCTTGTGATCTCCTGTTTATGTGATGTGGTGTGGTGGAGACTTGGAAAAAAAATTGTTATATTTTTTGCTGTCCTTTTTAAAAACTACCTGGTTGTAGTTGAAGCAGATGCTACCTTATGTACACTTGGGCTGCCTGCAGCTCTTGCCTCTTTGCACTAAATTGTTGAATACGTGGCAGCTGTACAAGTCTTTCTATGTACAAAGAAATCGAATGGTGATAGCTTCTTAAGCTAAAAAAGGGTGTGTTATTGGCTAGATAGGCTTTTTTTTCTGACACTTGCATCAATAGGAAGAAAACAGGTCGGTCTGAGAGAGGGGAATAGACTGCTGCCTTAATCTAGCTGTCGTCTTTTTCCATAGCTTAATACACTAATTCTGACAAGCACCAAAATCCTGGTTTGTGTTTAGGCTTTGATTCTCCCAAGCAGCAGAGGCTTGTGTGTCCAGTGTTTAAGCAGGGAGAGAATTTCTTATTTGCTGAATGGCATGGATACGTAGTCTCTCARTCATAAGTGGAATGTAAGCACACCCAGGACACTTGCATCAGTACAAATGCTGTAGAGGTGTCTTACTCAAATGAGCTGATTCAGCAGAAGACAATTGAGTTGTCACGTGCTTCTGTGGTGCTCTTCTAGCAGGTAGGTCAGAGAGCAAGTTTGTTTTGTAAGGGCCTGGGAGGAGGAGTAGAGGAAGATTGTGTTGTCTGTTAGGGCTTTAGAATGACTTTTACATTAAAGTGCTTTCCTTTGATTTCCCAGGAGTAAATACTAGGCTTTTGTGTATAACTAGTAATATGTATTAGTTCAGTGCACATAGCTCCGTTTGGAAGACTCCAAAGACATTCATAGAGATCAACTCCCAGTTTGTTAAAGGCTGTTAATCTACAGTTTGAGAAAAAAAAAAAAAAACCACTTTGTTTAGAATCAACTCTTCTTAAATATAATTGATTATTAGAGTAGTGACAGTTGCATTGAAATATTTGACTGGTTCACTGTTCTCATATGTCAGTAAAAATATATAAAAGCTTCTTATCACAAAATGAATCATGTAGGGCTGTTCATTGAATCTCCTTTAAGTAGGAATTAATATCTTTAAGTATCATACGTGTGTTAATTGCTCTCAGACTGTCAGCAAGAGCTTCAAATTTGAGGCTTTAGGCTTCATGGCCGCCCCCCTGCTTCTCCGATTGTACTTTCACTGGAATATTTTTAAATCTTTGGTACCAAAACAGACTTCATTAACTACAGAGCTGTGACCTTATCTATTAGTCATCAGCAGATGGTTGCTCAAAGATGTTATGCCAAAGTACACATAGTTTTATAATGCATATAAATATGATTAAAATAATTCTGCAAGCTTTTTTTGACAAGGTTATKATCCCATATGCTTAGTTCTACAGTAGCTCAGTTTGTTTTTCTAGCTGAGCCGACAGGTTTTCTTCAAATGCCAGGCTTGGTAGAATTGTAGGCTCCAAAAGAGATGTGCTACTAGTGGAAGAGCTTTGCCCATTGAAAACAGAACAAAACATTGTTTTGGTCAATTCTAGGAAAAAAAAGAAAAGTTTCTTAGTGCTGATGGACATCCAGCCCAAGTGGGATGTAGAATTTGCAACACTAAYGATACTTCAGCTGCTGAGAGCTTGTTGTGCAGCAGTGTGATTTGACATGGGTGAAGCAGTCTGCTCAGAACAAGGTTTCTCATATGGTTTCTTGACCTGGGTGTTTTGTTTAGATCACAAAGTCTATATTTGGCACAAGCGAAGCGAGCTGCCGATCGCGGAGCTGACGGGGCACACGCGCACTGTTAACTGTGTGAGCTGGAACCCGCAGATCCCATCCATGATGGCCAGCGCCTCCGAYGACGGCACGGTTAGAATATGGGGACCAGCGCCTTTCGTAGACAACCAGGATATTGAAGGTAAAAAAAACCCCACACAAAACCAAACCCTTGTGTATGTGTGTATGTCTTAACCACTAAAACTGCAGTGGATTTGGTGGGTTTTCTTTGCTGTAGACTTCTCAAATGTTGCCATTGCAACATGCTTTGCATGCCATTGCAATAATGCTTTTAAGTGCATACAGTATTATTAAAAATGCAAATAATGTAGTTTGAATAATATTTTAATGCCTGCCCAAAGAATTTGCCAAGTCTGGAGACTGCAGTCTTTGCACCTTAAAAGCTGATATGGCACAGAGCRTTTTCTAACAGTTAGATCTTGTCTGTGTCCAGGAGAGAGATGATGCTTACATGAGTGCGGTTTGTCTCAGTGTCCAAATGCATGCTAACTTTTCCCCAGTTATGTGTCTGCTTATTCTTTCCTGGTTTCTCTAGAAAATAATTTGGAAACTCCATAAGAATCCAGCCAGTAGGAGCTCTGGTTTTCTCATAACTCTGTAGCAGCAGCTGAAGTTTAGGTGCATAGAGTTGTATCTAACAACTTAAGAGTCTTCAAGGGGTGTCAGGSAGCTTTGTGGTCAGCTTGCTGTGCTGGAACTTGTGTGTAATGTGTKTTTTTTATTGGTACATCTCTTTGGAAGAGGTATCTTTAATGTGCTATCAGCTAACCTGACGAATTAATGTTTAAAGGAATGACTACTAGTGCCTTAAGTAGGCTATTTTTAGCATGTGATGTCGTTTCCATGTGAAGATAAGCACCACTGACTAATGCATGCTCAGTAAAACATCTGTAAATGCACTGTGTTAATGATCCTATTCTAAGTTCTTCAAGAAGATGTGATTTCTTTCTCTTGTATTTTTGTTTTTGCTCAGAGGAATGCAGTAGCATGGATAGTTGATGGCGAATTTGGAGCAGACGACTTCAGTTTAACTTAATTAGTCGTATTTTAAATGGCTTGGGATTTGGTGCAAACAAACATGATTGATAGCTGGACAGACATGCTCGTCATGAAAAAGAACCATTTCTGAAGCCCGGTTGGGGCCAAACATTTACCACCTTGCTTCATAGTAACCAGTCGAGATGAAGCACGTCGTTAGAACGTTGTTGGACACCGTGTTGAAATTACCCCCCATCGGTTGTGAAGAACTGTGCTACATTCAGGCTAACCATTGAACTCAGTATATATATTTTTCCCTCCTGCCTTTTTGTCTGGCAGGCTACTGTTCTTGTTGCTCTTCTGTGTAATGAAGTTTAAATGCTTGTTTGGAACACTTTATTTAACAGTTTAGAAGGCTTGATAGAAAGAGTGCTTTAGTCTGAAGAGTATACATTGGATAGGAAAGTATTTCCTTCTCTTGTTTCTCAAATCTCTCTCCGCCTTACTTAGCTTGAGATCTTTGCAGCTTGGTTCATGGATTCTAGCCTTGCCCGTTGCGCAGTATATATATATAAAAATTGAGATGATCAACCAATGAACTATGTCAAAAGCACTCTCAATATCACATTTGACAAAGTTTTGTACTTTTCACATAGCTCGTTGCCCTGCAGAGGGGTTAACAGCACAATTTTTTAAAAATAAATTATTTATAGGATTAAAACGACTTCATTTGTATACATTTGGAATTAAAACAATGTAAGAAGTGTTGTGAAATGCAGTATCACTGATGCTCATTCAGAGTGTCCTAAGACCCTTTCAAGAGCAGTGGTTGGAGGGAGCTTTACATAGGCAGTGAAACCTGTTCTAGAAGGAGAAACTCACTCTTTATCTTAACAGAAAGCCTGTGTTGATTAGAAGCAAAAGCCTTCAGAGTGCACCACCAAACCAAGATTTTAAACAGGACAAGGTGTTTTTGTTTTGTTTTTTAAGATTACATAAATACGAGCAACAATGCTGGGTAAAGGTAGACTACACCTGGAGGGAAGAGTGAACCTTTTTAGAATAGTTAACATCCAAATCATAATTCAGCACTTGTATTATGATGGAAAGCTTATTATTTGATAAACAAAGATGTAGAAGTTGTCCTTTTAAGAAGATCCTTTTAAGTTTACAGATTTGAATGTCTCTCCTAGCCCTTGCTGAAAGCTGGTGCTGCGAACATCTTGACTCATTCAGGAGCAGTTCCACTGATATCCCGAGTTTAAAAAAAGACAGGCATTTATAACTGAAGTATTTATTCTCGTCAGAACGAGCAGATGGCCGGGCACCCCTGCGCGACGCGCGTCCCTGAGGGGACGGTGTTGGACTCCCTCTTCCCGCGCTGAGGGAAGGCAGCCATGTTGGTGCTCGTGCTGCTGTGAGGTAAAGCAGGAGCAGGGAGGGGCTGTCGCCCTGAACCACGGCCAGGACGGCACCCACGTGTGTCCCTCGGTGAGGGGACAGCGCCAGCGTCCTGCGTGGAGGCGTGTGGGAGAAGGGGGGAAGGTTTGCCACAGGTCCTGGGAGGAGAGGCGTAGCTGTGTTGAAAGGGAAGGGTGGTGGTCAACACAAGCGGTCCCTTTACTGCTTCCCTAAAAAAGCCAGGTGAAGCCGAACCGGTTAGATGGTAGATCCCAGCCATGGGGTGGGTTGTTTCTGGCTCTGTGGGTGATCTTAAATGCGGTTCAGGGTTCCAGTATTCTTGTGGAGACTGGCTCTGAATCAGATGTGCTCTTCTTGGTCTCGCTCATTATCTTTAACTTAGTTCACTTATTTTAAATATCTGAATTTTAAGGTGAATTTCTTTGAGAGCAGCTACCATCCCACAGGCCTGGACATACAGGTGTGCACTTCGAACCAGGAGCACCCTGTAGCTCACTTTAGGGGAAACTTTGATTCTCCTGGTAGTTGGCAGCGTTTCTCATGGAGTAAGGTTAGCCTTGGTCCTTTGGCGTTAGTTTTGCAGGGAAACGGGCATCTTTCCTCATGTCCCATTCTAGGAAGCTAACCCTTTGGGCCTGAAATAAACATTGACTACCTAAATTGTAAACGGTATTTCATGCATTCAAAAYATGGTGCAATTCATAAGCAGTGCCAGGGTGTGTGTCTTTGGTAATTACTCCTCTGTACTCTTGCTCTGGAATATGTCTGTAAACAAAAAATCATTTAGGGGGAGTAAGTGGTGGAGGAAAACAGTCCAGTCCTTATTTGGGTTTTTTTGTGGGGGAGGAGATAGGGAAAGATGGTTTGTACCTTAACCTRGTCTGGCACTACTTGCTCACTCTGCTCATGGGACCTGAAAGGGAACTTGAGGCAGGTAGTAAAGGCTGGGTCAAATTTCAAGCTTAATTTTAAAGTCTAATATGCACTTGAACAGGCTTTTTAAGGTGCTGGCCATGCATGAAACGAAGCGAGACTCTTTGGCTGGTGAAAGCTCTGTGGGAGGTTATACTAAGGAGATACCTCCTTTCCACTGCAGTGCATCGTAACCAGAAGTCTAAACTTCTGCCGAAATGCTGCCCCTCTGCTCTGGAGCTTTTCTYCTAGATGCAGCATGTACATCCAAAATACACTTCAGGTATTCAGAAGCAGAGCTTGGGAGARGCATGTGTGCTGGCACCTCTGCTTTACCTTAGTTTTGTGGCACATCAGTGCAATATAAAGGACAGCTCCTTGCTTGGAGAGGTTGCCCTAGTCCCAGATGGTGCAGATGACTGTTTCCTACAGGTGACGCGTGGAGCATGAGAGGAAGGGGAGGCTGGTCTGAGCTTGGCCACAGCACTTGGTCCCACGTGAACCTGCATGGCAGATGTGGTGGTAGCAACTTTAACTAGCTTAAAGAACTTGAACTCTTTTTAAGGTGTCAGATACATGGTGTGAATTGAAAAGTGCCAGTACTTGTGCACAGGTCAGAACGAGACTGTGGGGGGGGGGGGATCACAAGTTTGCTCTTTTGCAACATTTTGCTTTCCATGTGCTTCAAAATCTTCATAGGTTGGAGTCAAAGGCTGGAACAAGTACACATGTGCAATCAATTACTGTATTTCTAGTGAACAGGCTGATTTTTTTAGAGAGGAAAATACTGTAAGTCTGTACTATTCTTTTAGCTTTCTTTTTGTGTGAGCTAGTAGCTACAGGCTATTGGCAAGAAAGATCTTTAACAAGTTATGTTGAAATAATCTATTTATCTGGATGTTCTTTAGCTGTTCAGGTAAGTAACTTTCAAGGGACAATGGAGCGTGAAAGGGAAAAGCAGCAAAGCCAGATCTGCCCAGGGCGGGTTGCAGGCGGTAAGGGAGGCACAGTGGATACAGGACACTTGTTTCAAATTCCCTCTGTCTCTTTTGAAGTTCTCCAGCTTAAAAATCAACTTCTTCCTAGGATTAGAGCAAAGATGYGAGCTAGAAACCAATCCAGGTCTTGCCAGTTACTTCTCACCTCGTTTGCAAGCAGGTAATATTCAGTGAAACTCAGCTTGCTCCTGGAAGTTTGTGCCTAGTTGGATGTCCTTATGGGGAGAAATGATGCTGCCACCCAAAACCAAGTGYGAAGACTTCCTTAGTAAGATGCTTCCTCGTGGAAACCAGGATGCTTATATTTAGCCCTAATTTGAGGGGAGCTGTAGTAGACCCAAAGGGGGAGGGAGATAGAGAAAGGGGAATTAATATTAAAAACAGGATTTAGTGGCCACCAGACAAACTACTGTAACTTGAGGAGGAGAAAAAAAATGCACTTTCAATAGCTTGTCCACATCTTTAGCTCCCAAATACACTTTTTAAAATATATTTTAAGGGGTCATCCAACCCATAACTGGGTAAAACCTCYTTTTTTACCTCCTTCTCCTCCTCTTTTCCACATTGGCTTGAGTCCATTTTCAGTTGCCATACTTAATTTTGAAAACTGCTACTTTTAATGGTGATGTTGAGGGGGAAAAAGTAATCTCGTTAATGCTGACACTTTTTTAAACAGGGTGGACTTAATTGAAGTGTGCAGTTTTGAACTACTGCTGCAGTAGCTGCCTCTAGGTGTTGAAATAAACTGTAGACAAGTTTTTGTCTATTAATCCAGGTTATCTGGAGTCAATAACACGTCTGTGAGTGTTCCTTCCATCTGGTGCGAGTGTGTGTATGTGTGAGAGCGTGTGTGTCGCAAACAGACATAGAACCAAACATTCGAGGTACTTGTCATGTTTTCTTGCATACTTTAAGTCGTGTGTATGTGAAGTGTCCTTTGACCTGAAGCTTTTGGTTAATATCAGTATATTTTTATAAATTGGAAATTCATTGTGCCCCATCTTTTTCTTAAAACCAGTTTTTCATTGTTAGGGTAACGTGCTAGATTTGAATCTTAACATTTTTAGGCACAGATGGGAAAAAGTTATTGGCTCCTTGAAAACATATGGGACAAAATGGATCCTCAAAGCATGTATGTACTTACAAACCAAGCTGTAGAGATCAAGAAAAGAACTTTATTGTTGATCTCAAGATTTCTAAATTGTCGAGATTTATATGGAGTTGTGGTGGAACTAGTTAACACTTAGAGCTTTTGGTATGTAATGACTATTTGCTATGGACTGATATTAAATGTTTCAAAGGATTGCGTTCTTAAACTTTCTGGATTTTTGTTACTCTCCTCGGATTATATTAAGTAGTTAAAATTTCTTTGCTATATTACATTAAAAACATAAGAACTTTGGGTCTCGTATTTATTTTCACTTGTTTTACTAATTATTTACAGAACACCGTTTTAACTTTTTTATTTTATAAATGTGTAGTATTTTAAACATATCTTAAACTTGTTCAATTGGAACTACATTAACTTCTGATTTGTTTTTATTAGGATTTTTAAAAAAATACACTTTTTTCCATGTTGGTGCACAGCACTTAACAGAAATGTTTGTATTCCCTTTCTTTCAATTCAATAAACAGAATGAATAACTGGAATGAATACTTTTTAGTTTCCTAAGCTTCACCCATGACAATCACTATGTTCATTTCGTGACAATGACAAATTTCTTYCATAGTTGTAGTATTTAATTTTTTCAGTGGGAATTGCTCAGCATTTTAGCTGATGGAAAATCCCCTGGGAAAGCTGTGCTGGGACTTTCCCGTTCTTGTTCCCGCCGTTGAGGTGTATCCAAGGCCACGCGTGTTTCTGCTGGCCACTTTGGCCGCTTGGCCCTGAGCTGTGCCCCGCTCGGTGCTTGTTGGGGCTGCCGCGTGGCTGCTGTTTTGAAGCGTAGTGTCAGCCTTGTGCTGGATGCTCRCTGAGGTGCCCCTTAGCTTGCTTAAATACGGGTTGTTTCAAGTGAAAAGTGTGTGTTTGTGTTTAAACAAAACGTTTTTCTCTGTTGAAAAGCTACTCCTGAGAACTATAATTTCTTGCTGATGCCTCTTCTGCCAGATGCTGGTAACTGGAGCCTGGGGAAGTGCTGTGGTCGCCACCTCGGGCCGATGGAGTCGGGCTTGGCAGCTGGCGGCTCGTGAAGCTCCATTGGTGCCTCCATGCCCTCCACCCAAGCCTGCCATCTTCAGCCTCCCTTCCACATACCTTAAGCAGAAAGTTCTTTCCATCCCAAACTTGGCATTGTGTATACCTGTATCTTAGGCATTTTTATCCAGCTTTAGCTAAGACTGCATTTAACACAAAACTATGTCCAAATTTACTGATTTACTCCGTTTGATTTTTTTTATTATTGCAGATTAAACCCTTTCCTGATTATTGAATAGACCAATTCTTTAGCAGCTCCCCCTCCACCTTGTGCCCTTCTGTACAGCTGCGGTGGTGCTTGTGTAGCTGTGTCTCCAGCCCAGCTGCCAAGAGAAGGGGCCCTGTCATCCCGTGCAGACATCTGTGCGGGCTGCTTCCCTCGAGGGCCAGCGTCTGCTCAAGGCTCTTAGGCTGCAGAGCTAGTTCAGCCACAAACCATCTACACAGGAGATRAGGAAAACCTCTGGAATGGGTTACCACACTTGATCTACCATCCTGAGTCTGCCTCTTACTGGAGAGAGAAATGTGAAAGAGAAACAGGTGTATAGTTTCCTAAAGTTGAAACTTCAGTGTGTGTATGTAWAGGATTTAAAGAGTTGTGATCTTTAATTTTGTTATTCTTTATTCATTGAAATATTACGTTCATGTAGTATTTCTCAAACTTCTTCCACAGTTTTTGACCAGCAGCTTGGCTTTTGGAACCCCAAGGGGAGCCCTTCAGGTCATGTAAAAAGATAACATAAAGAACCAGACTCAGAGTTAAGTATTTCACAGTCAGCTTAAACCCRGGTTCTGCCTGAGCTGGGGCACATCTCCAGGGTGAAGTTGACTGTTTTACCCTATCACTTGGAGTCTTTCCTTATGCTCTCTATGCTGCTTTGTGTGTGCCCTGCTCTTTTGCATGTGTTGCAGGTGCTAAGGGGATGCAGGCATTGCTGAAGGATGGCAGTCCCCGTCCTTCCCCCCTTTGAAAGGCCTGCWAGGGTGTGCAGGGAGAAGGGGCTTGCAGGTTTTAACTGCCCCCTCCCCCAGCTGAAAACCGCACGTACCGAGGCCRTAGGTGGTAGGTGAAGAAAAAAACAGCTTTCTCCTCTTGTACAAAACCCAGAATCCCTCTAGGTCAGCTTCAGATTTATTTCCATGCATTGAGCACATTCTGTAAGTCATAGCTAATGAGGTGAAGGATGGATAAAGTAACATCCCTRTTGTGAAGTTATGCTTGGATACCTTAACTCCATAGGGAAATAAATCTTAGTCCATGGACAGGAGCCAGGCTGTGCTTGTGGTCTCAGTTGTGCTAATTCCTAGCGATAAGGTTAGCTGAAGTCTTATTGGGATTCACCTAAAGTTTGTTGTTCTCTTGAGTTGCTAGAGCGGGCTTGGATATAAATTAGCCTGCTCTCTCTGATGGAGTGCCAGAAGGTTGTGGGTTTTGGTTATTTTCTTCGACATTTTTAGCCCATTAGAGCATTGCTGACGGAGCTGTGTAAAGATCGCTGTTAAGGACGGAAATGGTCTGTGGGCAATGAAGGCTTCAAAGGTACCCGGGGAATTACTCTGCACAATGGTGACCTTTGGAGCCTGTGGCTGAGGTGGTTCTAACTCCTATAATAAGCTGTTAGATGAATGATCAGAGACTATGTTTTCTCTCCCTCAGAAATGAAGTGGATGTGGGAAGTTTGCAATCATACATAAGTACAGTTTGATTAATACTGACCAGCTACTCTTTAAAATACATTTCTGTACTTTTTGCTGATTGTGTGGTCAGAAGTACATCCTTAAGGAAGGAGGGAAAAGTCCACACTAGCATTCCTTTAGGTGAAGGATGTGACTAGAGACATTTACTTATTTATTAGTATGGTGTTCTTTCTCCTTATTCTTCCCTGTCCAGCTTTCCTTCTCTGAGAAGGGGAATGGAAGATTTTTTCCAAGGACTGATGCATTTTAACAACTTCAGCAGCAAACACCATGTTGATCCTGTCTAATCTTAATAGCACAGCTCTGGAGAGTTAGCAGCTAGAGAACAGTGAAGACAAGAAAAATGTTTAGGATACACCATTAGCAAGGCTCTCATCTCAAAATCACCTCTTTAAGGTATAAAATAATATATAAAACTTTAGGTCTCTTCTAAGTTCTATAAGATATAAAGCTTTAGGTCTATTCTGATATGATCATGATAACATTTCCCATAGCACCATTTTGTTTAATGAAGTTTATTTACTGTGGGTACTGGAGGGGCAGCACTTAAACGGGTTGCCCGTGTTGTGCTTAACCTCTTTCTCTAACCAAGGGATAAAAAGCAGAATCTGTGTAGCACCCGTTTTTTCACAACGTTCAAATAAGTACGGCTGTCTTCACGCACAACTAAAATAACTAATCCCTTAATCTGTAAACTAGTCTGACAGTTACYGACATTCCTGTTCTCAGATTTTGTTTGCTCTCTCCTTTTCATAGCCCTTCATCCTGTTTGGGGTTCAGCTTTGTGGATTTTGGTTGAGTGCCCTGTCAAGCAGCTAGTTATTTTTTATTGAGTCTATTTTCAGCATCTTTTAATCTTTAGAAGAACTAAAATTAGAATCCCCCCATCATAAATTTAAGGATAAAATTATCCTAGAACAAATGTTAAATGTGAGAAAGCTAAAGAAATAAAGCTCCCATGTTCTACATCTCTTCACTGCTGCACACAACCAGCTTGTTGCACATAAATAAAGCTAAAACCTGTACAATATTCTGACTACAGCTGAAGAGTTACAAATTCATACAAAAAAATAAAAACTTAGATGTTTAAACATCTAACTACAGGGCAGTATTTCTCAAGTGTTTCAGGAGGCAGGATTGCTTCAAAAAGAAATCTGTMGGTGTTTATGAAAACATAGCCGAGATTTAAAAACAAGTGTTGGACAGTGAGAGCAACAGACTCAGGTTTATTGCTGATGCAAAGACAACAAGAATAAGAATTTAGTTTTGTGGTGTCTCTGAAGTAGAATTATGTTGGAATTGTGGGACTAACCGGGCTATGCTCTACCACTATCTGCCCTGGTCAGATGGCAACCCATCTGAATCAACATTCACCCTTCTGGATATGGGAACAGCTGCTTCATAGACAAAGGACCAAATGATCTTGCTCTATTCTGGACTCCAAGCCCTAATGTAATGTGGTATTTACTTTGTAAGGTAGATCTATGACATCTATGATGTKTTTCAATGATAAAACAGCAGTGGGAGGGGGAAAAAATACAAGTTTTCCTTGGGCTGCTTAAGTTCCTCCTTTCCCTATTGCACACAAGCATCGCTTTTACCATAGGAACCTTATTCCATCCAAACATGAGACTTCATCTAGAGTGTCCGGGGCAATGGGAGGAAAGCCCAACTTCTCTTTCACTACTTTAAGTGACAAACACAGCCATGTAAAGATGCGAGCTGCTTTAGCAGGCCACCTTGAAAAAGAGAGACCAAATGTTTCTTCAAACTGCACTCTAATCTTGACAGCCAGAAGCCCATTGTGAGATACTTCACAAAGAAGCAGACATCAGACTGCACTTCAGTTTCTTCCAGCACTGCYGCTCCTGCCACCCCAAGCTCTCAGAAATGGGTTTTCCTTCTCCTCATCTCCTTCCCACAGGACGAGTTTGGTAAGCAAGTATTTCACCTTGTAGCAGCAACCACAGTTCAGGTTGTTGTAAAAGGAACACAAACAACTGCTACACAAATCCAATGTCTTTTGAAAATATTTTATGTTAAAAATACAGAAAAATATTTTTTGTTCAAAGAGGAAAAATATACTGCATGACGACACTGGTCTAGGTAYGTTCAGAAGGTGTCAGTGGCTCCACAACCAGTCATTGGAGTGATGACCCAAATTAGCAGCTAAGGGTTCAACTTCTCAATCATTTATCAAAGCCAGAATCATACTGTGATAAAACAGAAAACACGAGACCAGGGTATTACTGAACTATGTGCAAACAGGAACTGCTGTTTCAGGAGAGAACTGCACTTGTATCTCTAGAAAGTCAAGGCCACCACGCAAAGTATTTCATTTTTGAAGGCAGGGATTGCAGGCGTAACACTGCAATACACCGGTCTTTCATCCTCAGAAAGATCAACTTCATTTTCTCCAAGAGAAATTAAGATCATTCCCATTCTAAACAGGCCACTTATTTTAGGTGCTGAAATCATGGGACTCTTTATACAGTGCTAATAGTGTTTTTGAGAGTAGGAAGTCATCAGAGTTTTCAAGCAAAGTTAGATCAGAAAGAATAAGAGCAAAAAATGAAACTGCAAATGAGTGTCAAAATGTATTACTGAGGCTTAGCACAAGGCAAGAGGGTAAGATGCTTATGAATATCAGCAATTATACTAGCAGAATGGAAGGATAAAAATAGATGGCAGACAATTCCTTTGTTACCTGGCAGCACTYTGTGAGACTAACCTGTAAAGGTACATGAAGAAACAGAGCAGATGAAAGCCAAGTTTGATCATGGCTTCCTTCATGTGCGATTTCAGTTGTCCTCGGTTATGGATCTCTGTGGGATCAAAAACCCCCATGTTTCCACTAGGCACCATAATGAACCTGGAAGTTTAAGAAAAAATAGAAGTGCAGCCATCAAAACAGCAGTGAGTGAAGGGCAGGGGCTGGGAGGGAGTCGGCTCAGAAGGGATTATTTACTGCATATTTTACAGTTCAATATAAAACCCAGCTATTTTTCATTTCTTCTAGGCCAGTCTCAGGATATTGCATGCAATCTCTACCATTACCATTTACAAACAAACAAAAAATCAGAGGACAGGAGAGATTAAAAGCATTAGCCCAGCCTCCTTTGCATAAATGGAAAATGTKCTAGGTAAGCGTGAATTCCAGAGTAGTTTAATTACTGCTTTCAGTTACTCTGCATCAYTGGAGGAACCCTCCACATGCAGTGGAAAGATGCACTGATGAAAGTGACAGTGAAAATTTTGTTCTTATCCAAAACTAGATATTCACAAACTCTAGTGGTCCAAAAGGATTGCGAAAGGCAGGGCAAAAGGTCTGTATTCCCATYTTTGTCACAACTGCCCTATGTTACTTCGGCAAAGGTGATGAGCTTGTTTACAGCTGACAAAACAGAAGAAAAGTTAAGTCTTTTTCTTTCACTTTCTGAACCCATAGAAAAACACAAGYTGAGTGGGAACAAATACATAAGCAAAAGGAAGAAAATGCCCAGCCAAACAAATGTTTATATACTTTGAAAATGTGGCAAGCAGGTGCTTGCTTGACGTGCTCATCTCTCACGGCAGAAGATGTGAGCACTTTAAGCTCTCCACCTGAGAGAGAACAGCTTCAGTTCTCCAGTTGAGCTCAGCCTAGAACAGTGCTGTTATTCTACTTGAATATCCTAAAGGTTTTACCTTCCTGCAATAGTGCTCTTTCCACACAAGAATTTAACTCCTGCTCTTAGCACAAAGGAACAAAATGCTTTTTGATTTTCTTTACATACTTAAGGAGTGGTACCACTTGTTCTCCAAAGGCACTCGCTCCTTTCTTACAACATTCTCCTTCCTAAGGATAGGAGGGGAAGAAAGGGAATGTGAAACGAGAAGGGTTTCTAGCAGCAACAGGGGACAAAAAAAAGTTAATCCTGCTCTGCACATAGTTTTTTCAATACCCCTATGAAAGAAAGAAAAGAAAAGCTCTATTTACCCCAGAAATTAGTTCCTGAAATACTGCAACATATGAAGGAGTTTCAAACACACTCATCTCATGATAACGCTCCATATGTTAATGCTTATCCTACTTTACTCGTTGACACCTCTTCTTTTGGTGTTTTCCAACTGACTATCTCACAGTAGACCTTACTTTCGGTCTACTAAATATCTGAGGTTAAATCTTAAGTTTTACCCCAGAATATCTATTCTCCTTTTTAATGCTAAACACCACACCCTTCTGCAGACTTTTATCTTCCCTTCCAGCTATTAATGTATGTGAAATTCCTTGACCCCTGAAGACAGGCTGGATTAGCAACATGGGCTTAAAATTTTTAACTCTTATGCCAAAACAGGCCAGTTACCATATATTTATTATATACACTGCACCTTGAAATGGAGAAAATAAAACTAGATTGGGGATATTTGAAATATTCCCAATAACAATAACCATAAACAACTAAAACATAAAATGAGAGCTGTCAATTCAAAACAGCATTCAGGGGTTAATCCCTGAAGCTTGGCAAAAGAATTATTGCACTATCCTTTAAACTTCTTTCTGGTCAGCTGGAGTAGAGAAAAAAAATGGCTATTTTTAATGCTAACATAATTAAGCAGAAGGAAGCAGCAAAAAGGAAATTAGCACTTTAAGGGAAGTGTATTCTCTTTACAGTGCCTCTGTAGACACAATCTAACAGGAAAGAAAAACTAAATGCTAATTCTGTATTTGCCAAAAGGTACCAAAATGAACAGCATTTTCCTGTGCAACATTCAGCAACACAATTGTATAGAAAAGGCCACACAAATGGTAGTATCTCTGTGTGTGTATTTAGGCAACACTCACCTATAAAGCACAGAAATTAATGCTCTCTCATGGTACTCCAGATGAAAACTATTTGAAGGCTTTAATAGCAGTTTTGTAGAAAACAAGAATAATGAATACATGATATTTTCCTAAAAGCAACTGGAATATCAGTAAAGGCTTTTCCACCTGTCCTTAATGAGACCTAGGAAACCTCTTCTTTCGATTAACAACTCASCCCACCTCAGTGGTTAGCCATGGTAGGGTCACTGAAATGGGAAGTACAATCAATCCCTTATAGCTAAATCTTAAAGACTTGGACTTCTAACTTTCTGTGGTGTGGTGCTTGGTGGTTAGCTGCCCAAACCCCCACATTCACTTTCATTATTGCAGACTTTTGCAGGGTTCATTTCCTGTACATCAAGGGGCCTAAAGCAGGCAGGTTTCTGGCCTRGGATGGTAGTATTTCTAAACAGTAGAAAATCATATGAACATTTTTTGAGCTGTCTCTCCATTGCCACCTTCAAACTCATACTAAGCAAATTGTTTCAAAGCAGAAGGGAGCCCAGGGCACAAAGTTTACACCAGTAGCAGCAAAAGCTGTCTAGCATTAAGAAGATAGGAGAACTTTTAAAACACAAAAAGGCAAAATGGGGGACCAAAAACTTCAAGCAATGCAAGTGAGGGAAGAAAACAGGAGCATAAATGTGTGAGTGCATGGCGTGTGTGTACACATGCCAAACACCACAATCTGACACTAGTTTTACAACCAGCAGCTATACTGCTCTAAGTACCTTTATGSCAGCATCTTCCTCAGGCAGAGTAAAAACTCTCAGCAACAGATTTTGCAGCAGTTCTTTATAACCCCAGTTAACATGCTGCTACTTCCTGCAACCTATGAATGATTCACAGTTCAAGGGTTTTGCGCATTAGGGAGAATGCAAGGACATGCCAAAAGATTCAGATCCTGAGTTCTGGAGCATTTCTTGTGGTTTTAACTGGAAAAAAAGGAGAGTTTAATGCTGGTTACATCCATGAAGACTGTTAGCAGCTCAGAAATGTAACCGAAGCATCTCATCATGATATATTGTTTATCTCTGCCCTTGAAGCTTACCTAGTAATAGTGGATGAAAAGAACATAAAATTCTTTGCACTTACCTATATATATTCCATGTTGCTACTGGCAAATTAAGGAGAAAGATGAACCAGTGCAATGAAATAAGCATTAATACCGTTACAATAGCATGGCCAACCAACTCGGGGACCACCCACTGTAAAAAGAAAWGCAAAAAACAGTTATATCCACAAATGTAGTTTCCTTTCTGGAAAAAAAAAAAAGCAAAAAAACCCCACATACATCTGTTGTCCCATTCTATTCACATCAAAGTAAGACTAGATTGAATATTCAGAGAAGCATACAGCCAGATTCCATGGGAATAAGCCAAAAATCTGGCCCTAACATACTGTAACAGAGGTAGTTTATTTAATTTTAATATACCAGTTTCTAAAGAGAAGCACAGCAGCTGCTTATACATAACTATAATAAGCAAATACTTTATTTTAGTGAGTCATTCAAGAAAGCAACACACTCAAAATCACTGCAGAGAACACTGGGTTTAGGAATAGAGAAGTGGATAACAGAAATCTGCACAGATAAGGGGCATATAAACCCCCTCAGGCTGGGAACAGAAAATTGATCCATATGGAAACTGGCATAGTTAAACTGGGTCAGCCCCTCATCATTGCATGTTTTTGGTTTAAGAGTACCTTGTAGTGATTTCTCTTCCATTAGGAGAGAAAATACTGCTCAAAGTGAAGCACCAGGCAGAATGCAGATAGAGTTCAGCTTTATAGAGATTTGGTTAAAATGGTTCTTTTCCCTGTCACAGACAGCCACATGAAGGAGCAAGGAAGGGCCTTTTGCAACTAATTTGCTGAAAGACAGCGACATGGAGCAGGCACGTGGACCCACGTAATAGGTGAATACCTGGGAAAAATACTGCCAACCCTGACTCCTCGGGTACATATTACACTCCTTTACTTGTGATGCRGGGTTTCTTTTATTTTTATTTTAAGCCATGTTAAATGCAAAGAAGAAACATTTACTTTATTGAGTTTCGAGCAGCAAGATCTGGCATTAATGTAGTCACATTCCAGATCCGACAGTGTGATTATCTGAAGCGTAAGATAAGGAAAACTTGTATGGCAACTCAGAAAACCCAAAGCCTTGTTTTCAACCAATAAATTGGGAAATCTTGATCAGAAAGAAGTTATTTAGAACTCTCTACTCTCAGGGCAGACTTTCTGTTTGGTTCTCCAGGAGTTAATTACAACAGTACATAATTCTACTTTATATARGGAGTTGGGCCTTATCGTATTATTAGTCCAAATGATTTTATCAGAGCTTTTTCTTTTTTTCTCAACAGCGACTCTTGCACAAATGCTAAAGTTCAGCTCAAGACTAAACACAGACCAGGGAGACACACTAGCATTTTTATTACCAGAATCATTAGCACAGTACTTGAAACACAACCTGAAAAAAAAAAAGACAAAGCACTTTTAAAATTCCTCACAATAAATCCAACCAGTATGGTTTTAATTAGCGGATCTACCCATTTCATACTTGGTGCAATACTGAATTATCTCATGTTATACTAAGAAATGAGAGGTTAGCATTGCTGTCAAATGCAGTTTCAATAAATGAAATACCAAGAGATTTAGATACTCTCTTCAAAATAAGAAGGCTTAGTATGCCCATCTTTATGCTACATCCATGAGCTCACACACAACCCCTTCTCTAGGGAAACGCGCGAGATTTGKTCTCTTGGAGAACACAAAATCTTTTAATTTTTAGCAAATACTGTTTTGGCTTCTCTCATCCCCGGAGGAGCACAAAAACACCTGGAAGTTTTAGCCCTGCAGTTTCCGGGGCCGTGACACGCCTTCCCAAGCATCCCTCCCTCCATCTCAAGCCCAMCGAGGTCTCCCCCGAGGGAAGGAGCCACCGTTGCCCCTCACGTCGCGCGGGCCGCTCCCGCCGACGCCCCAACGGCCGCACCGCGGCCGTTGGGGCGTCGGCGGGAGCGGCCCGCGCAAGGCCGGGTCCTCGACCCCCTCCGAACGAGCCCGCGACCGTTTCCCGCCCCGCCGCCAGGAGGATACGAAGTAAACGGCGAGGAAGATGAGGGCGCAGCAGTCGATGAGCGAGAAGATGAAGACGACCGACTCCATCCCGCCCCGCCGCCGCGCAGCACGGGGCGGCGCCGCAGCCTCCGGGGCGGGGGCCTTAGCGGCCGGGCTGCCCGCGCGCTGCCTGCGCGCTCCGCTCAGCCGGCCCGGCGCTGCTCGGCGCAGGCGAAGCGCGAGGGCAGCCGCGCGGGGCCCGCGGCGCGGCGGGCGTGCGGAGCAGCGCGGGGATGCGGAGCCGCGCGGGGCCCTTCGTGGACGTGCGGCTGAAGCAGCGCGTGAAGCAGGTACCGCGGCGACCGTTGGGCCGCGCCGCCCCCCGCCCCAACGGCTCCAACGGCCGCCGGACCCTCCCTAAGCTCCCTTGCCCGGTTTAAAACTAGCCTCCCCCGCACCCCTCGGTTCAAAGCTCCCGGCCTTGTTCAGAGCTCTCCCAGAGCGCTACTCTCTGCGCGTATGTAGGCAGGCTTACAGTGCGTAAAGTATTTASCTTTGGAAGCGAGCAGGAATCTCACCTTTGGAGTCCTGCCCRGGTGGGCAGGRAGGCCCGCGGCCTCCTGGCTGGTGTCAGGAGCAGCGTAGCCGRCAGGCCCAGGGAAGGGCTGGTCCCTCTGTACCCCGCGCTGGAGAGGCCGCAGCTCGAATGCTGTGTKCAGTGTTGGGCCCCTCACTGCAAGAAAGACACTGAGGAGCTGGAGKGTGTCCGGAGAAGGGCAGTGAAGCTGGTGCAGGGGCTGGAGCACAGACSCCATTACGAGTSGCCGAGGGAGCCGGGATTATTTAGTCTGGAAAAGTGGAGGCTCAGGGGAGACCTAATCGCTCTCTGCAGCTACCTGAGAGGAGGGCCTAGTGAGGTGGGGGTCGATTTCCAGAATAACAAACTATAAGACAACTAAGTAACAGTAGCACAAGAGGAAGTGCCCTCAAATTGTGCAGGAGGAGGTTCAGTTTACATGTTAAGAAGAATTTCTTCATGGAAGAGTAGTGAAGTAGTGAACTTTGAGTCGACTGAAAGAATGTGCTCACTTAGAGCATCACTGCAGCCATGTGGTAACCACTGTGATTAAAAGAGAGTCTGCTGGACTGTGTGGCATCATCACTTTGTCAGTGGGCCAGTGGCTGCCACTGGCTACCGTGCGCCCTGGCAGGTTGAAGCTGTGTCTGACTTTTAAGGTTTTCCATCTCTTTTTCATTTTATTTTTTGATAATTAGATTTTGGAGCAGGCWTATGTCATCTAGGGCCTTGGTGAAGCGACTGACAGAGATCTTATTTGTGTCTCAAATTTCTTTGTTTCAGTACCTAACAAGTGGTAAATGCGGCCAATACGTAGACATTGGGATTTTAGCATCAGATTTACAGAAAATCTACAGGTGAGCAAATGCTTGTATCCTTATATGCTACATTAAAATAAAGAAGTTATGTATATATGTGTGTATATATATATTTTTATTTTACAGGGGAGTATTATGACGGTTTTTTTTTTTTCTTTATATTCATAGCCAATTGCTGCCATTAAGACATGAAGGTCTTTTCCACCTTAATGCTTTTGTTTGCTGACCTATCCAGTAACATTTATTATTGTCTTGCCATTGCAAGGTTTACTTGCTGACTACATATTTTTAAATAAACAGCTACAGATGCATTATAGCATGCTGATCCTTATCCCTGAAAGCTTAAAATATGACAGAAAACAACAGTTCGATGTAAAAGTTCGATGCAGATAAATGGTGGAGACACAGGATTTAGTAAGACACTGGTGCTCAGCAGGATAGTTAGTCCTGCTAATTACTGTGTTTTTAGGCTTCTTTGGATAGGGAGAAAAGTTGTGTATCAGTGAATAGTTGGAGAAAGTGAAGGATTCATGGTCTGTTGTCTGGAGTTTTATTAAAGAAAAGGCACTTTAAAGAAAATCCTTATCAGGATTTTTGAGGTATTACTGGTGACGATGGTGTCTTTTTTTTTTCTCTCTATTACTGTAAATAATTAAATATTCCCTCAGTGAGTGAAAGTAAAAGATTGATGATTGCTGTTGGCAGTTAAGGATTCTTTTGATAAGATTTTTTCACATTAAGGTATTGTTATTTGTCACAGTTAGGCCTGGTTCGGCTGATCTTTCTAGTCCTGTGTCTGTATGTTCTTGTGTGAATGAAAATATGAAAAACGATAGTGTTGTTGTGAAATAAAATCCAGTGGGTTATACATACAGTTAAAGAGAGCCTTGATATTTTGTACCAAATACCTGTTTAGGGATCACTGTAGTTTGCCGTTTTTGTTTCATCCCAGAAATGTAGAGTTATGCATTGCCATTKGAGCTTTTMCAGGCTTAAGAAAAGAATAGTCACATATTCACATACTTGGCTCTTGATAATAACGTGTATAAAAGCTTACGTATCAATTTAGAATGTATTTCTTCAGTGAGAAYGACCAGGTATTGGGAGGAAAGCTATTGAGGTAATCTGTTACTTTGTTTTTCAGTGCAGATTACGGACGAAGAAAAAGAAATGCTTTCAGAATACAAGTTGAAAAAGGTAGCTTTGTTAGTGTTATGTCTAAGATACTAAGCACTAGCAATTGCTTTGATTATACCTTTGCTATTTTCTAATCATATGTTTGAAATTTTTCTTCAGTGTTTGGAATAATCAGTAACGAAAAAGAACGTGAAGATCTAGCAGTTTTAGAAGCTGAACATGTGGCAAAAAGAGCAAGGCAAGGACAGGACAAAAACRAGTAAGAAAGAGGACTTTTTACTGGAAGATGGCTTTAGTAACTTGGTTAACATTCAAAATTTATTTAAAGCTTTCTTTATTTACGTTTTGGTAGTTTCATGATAGATCCTTGATTTCCCATTGACCCGTCTTCATCAGGACTTACCTATAGTTAATAAAGCACGTTTTCTTTCTAAAGACAGGCACATGCAAGACAATTGATCATAATTTCTCTCTGATGGTAAAGACATGCCTGTGAATTAGTGGGTATCCTGATGGAGCTTCCTGTAGTTTTCTACATAGGCACATGATTTGTTTCCTTTGTTGGTTTTTGTTCTTGATCCTTCTGATATGTGTTATCCAAGTCTAAGAGATATGACTACAACAGTGGGGCATTTAGAGTAAATCACCACTGGCTGTGAGACTGGAGTTAAGATTTCCTAACTCACAATCTTGTGTGTAGTTTCCTGAACTATTCTGCTTTCTGATCTGTGATAGAGATGAGGGTCCTGTGGAGAATTTAAGACAATGTTATGATCAGAAGGGCTTGGCCAGGCCAGCARTGATTTGTTACAACTCCCCTGGTGCCAGCACTGGTGGCTGTGTGGCCTCTTCRTGAGCAGATTCAGACTGCGAGTCTCGCATCACTTTTTCTGTGGGCCAGCGAGGTTGCTAAACTGATCCAGCTTCTCACAGCCTTGGGAAATAATGCATTTTTCTTTAACTCTGCAAGGTGGCAAGTTTAGAGCATAGCAGTCAGGTGATGTTTTTCAGTCTTAAACTATGTATTGTGGCTCTTATTCTGGGAAATTGTTCTGTTTCTGGGTATTGCCCTTGTGTGCTGTTGTGATGTGTTAAAAGAGTAGTTTATCTTTCTTTCTTGTAAAGGACTGCAGGAAGTAGCACAGATGACTCTGATGATGATGATTATCCAGAAGATCTAGTAAGTTGGTTTTTATTGTGTTTGTGTGTGCGTGYGCGYGCGCGCACGTGTATGTATGTATATATATAGACACATAACATATCATAGTATGTTGTGAAATCCCAGTGCCCTTGGAGTTTTTAAAAGTGGAGATGAGAAATAGGATGAAGCTGCAGTTAAAACTGAAAATCTTTAGAGCTAAAGCTTTAGACATTATTTTCTGAAGGGGAAAGACAAACAAACTTAAAAAAAAAGAAAAAAACCTGTGGTGGTAATCACTTTTGAGACAGTGCTCTAGGGGCTCCGAAGACTTGGCTATCAAATGAAATGACTGAAGGAACTGACAGTGGCAGGGGTCATTTAAGGGTAAATGGCAGAGGCTGTTGCCTCTTTAACTTTCAGATCCACTTTTGCATACAGTTATTTGATCTGCAGAGGATATGTGCTGAGGCTTGGAGGAWGCAGCATTACTTTTTCCAGTGAGGATAATGCTAATTGATGTTTATGAAATCATTTTCATTTGTACTTTTTGCTCTGTGTTGTTCTGTTGATACAAATCATTCAAATTATAACTCGTGTATGTCACTTACAAATATTTATTTATATATATATATTTAATAATGAATTTGCAGTCTACAAATCACATGAACAGCTCCCTGCTGACCTTATACAAGAAGGGAAATCCTGATTCTGTTCTGACCRCTCCAAAAAGTGAATCATTGGAAACCCCTGCTTCTGCACAAGCAACAGCCCCTCGTACAAGCAGTCTGGCACCAGAGACTCGAGTTGAAACAAGGATCTCTGAAGGTGGTTGGTTCATTGACARAACTCCCTCTAGAAAGGAGTTCTTCACTGACCTTTCTGAGAATGGAGAGGGAGATGAGAAGAAACTGATTTCTAAGGTAATGTGCTTCACAAGCCAAATACAATTTAGGTGGCAAGTATGTATGTAATTTCTTATATAAATTGACAGGCGAATTTTACAGTTATGTCTTGACAGGAGAATTTTACAGTTATGTCTTAGCAAGCATGGGGAAAGCTGAAGTTCTTTAGTCTGGCGAGGATTATGGAAGTGATGGAAGGCTTGGAAATAGCATTAGTTGTAGAGCAATTGAAGTAGATGGTACCTCTCACCCAAAACATACTGCTTGCTTTGATTTTTTTTTCCGTTTTATTTTTTAAAAAAAGCTTTATTTAGCTGTTGAAAACTTTCCATTCATATTTGGGAGATGACCTTTATGTAGTAGTGTTGACTTTTTGTCATTTTTGTGCTCTATTTTTTATATGAAGGAAGRATTTCCTTTTTATATGAAGGAAGGTACTTAGTGCTACCTTCCTGTTACAGAAAATGCTTCCTAAATAGGCAGGTTTCACAAATAGTCACTCTGTCCTAGTAGTACTGCAGCCTCTTACACAGGGAGGTGAGTAGAATGGAGATGCCACATTGTAAATTGCCTGCAGTATTGTATTTTAAAACTTAAAAGTTACTGACAATCCTCCCTTTCTCCTTCCCTCCATCCCCACTGCTCCCCCACCCTCAAATATTGGTCCTTTTCTCCCGTTCACTTAATTATGTCACCACCGCATAACACAGATTTACAGCTCTCATGATTTACTAATAACTGTGAAGGTTTTGAATATGTAATTTTGTTTTTAATGCTCTAGAAATCAACAGATTTTTCTGTCTTGGAGAGTGAACAAAAGAAGACAAAAGGGAAGAGAACAAAAAGAAAAAAAGAAGAATTTCCAGATGTAGATGAACAAATTGAGTCTATCTTGCTTAAACAGAAGGGTGAGACGTTATTTTTGGCATGCTGTTCCCAACCAAGGGATGGGGTGGTAGGTGACTCTGGAATCCATGAGCAGAGGAGTGTYACTTTTTCCAAGGTACCATTGAGTGACTTTGAATGTTTTAAGAAATTTTGAGTGTTCTGTTGTATATATTCTGTTGGAATGTATAAGCATATATCCCAATCCCATATCTGCCATCAGAAAGTAATTTTGTTCTATGTATTTGATTTTTTAGGCTGATTTCTGTCCTGTTTTGTCTTGACAGACAATTTAGGCAATGCCTAAATTCATATGATTTATTTTTCTCCTTTAGCAGTTAAAAGCAAGGGACCAGAACTTTACCACCCTTCAGTGAGGTTTGAAGATGTTGGAGGCAATGATGAAACTCTTAAGGTGAGTTTTAATTGTGGAATAGAGAAGGTATTGAATAAAATAATGCATGGAAAATGAATTAAAAAAAAAAAAAAAAAGAAGTCTAGAACTCATCTGCATGGAACTGAAAGTGGTTGCAGGTACCTACACAGAAACAGATTATGTTTTGGTTTTTTATGKTTTTTTTTCACTATGATTAACCTCTCCAGAGATAATCACTGAAATTTTATGAAGAAACAGAACTTTTATTTTGGTCTTTCTGTAGTATTAGTAATCTGTACACCCAGTTTCTGCAGTTTAAATGTATGTCCATCCTGTCTTTAACAGGAAATCTGCAAGATGCTCATTCATGTCCGTCATCCTGAAGTCTATAACCACTTGGGTGTGATCCCTCCTCGCGGTTTTCTTTTACATGGACCACCAGGATGTGGAAAGACACTGCTAGCACAGGCAATTGCTGGGGTGAGATAGCCTTAAACGTCCTCCTTTTTACTCTTCAAAATTAAATTCAGGGAAAAAATAAATATCCTTTTATGATCTTTTACTCTGTCTCTTCTCTCAATCTTATTTTAAAATAATGGAAATAATTAATGAAAATTGATGATTTCCATGTCTTTTAAATTACCTCTGAATCTGTACTATTATCTTGCAGCCTCTTATTGTGTCACTTAGGCTCAGTTGATTGTTTTGAAGCATTCCCAGAAGAACAAGATCAGCAGGGGTATTGAGAAGGCTATAAATGACAAATATTTCGGATTAAAACAGTCTTTTAAGACTGGGCATCTGTTATGAGGTTATTACAGTGGTTATAGGGGGTGACATCTGTTAAATAATAATTTCTGAACTCAGAAACTCGTGATTGCCTTGCCAATGTCTAACTAACTATTTCAGAACACATGATATCATCAGTCTAAATAACTTGGGATGTGGTAGAGCTGTTTTGAGCCTGTTTTGGGTATAAATTTAGACCTATTTAGATGTGTTTGCTAGTATTCATAGTCACAATTTCCGCCTTGTTTTTAATACAGCTGTTCCTCAGAAGTTACCAAATATATGTATATATCAAAGCGTGTGTATCTAAGCCTATCAAAGTGCTTTTTGTTGCTGAGTTCTTTAATAGCAGAAGACCTTGTATGTGGGGTTTGCAAGTATTTGGTTGTACAACACTGCTAGGATATTTCTGGAGCAAAACTGGGGAACCAGGMATGCTGAGATGGTCTCCATTTTGCTAGTCACGGTTTGTTGTAGAGGGAAATGGGCATTTTTCTCAAGAAATGAGGCAGGGCTTGAGCTGAAGTGTGTATGTTGTAAAGGGTTTGGTCCAGGGCCATCCTGTAAATCTACTGGACATTATCCAGTGGAATTAAAGGAACCTCGTTTCCATGTCAATTTCTGTTCATTTGGTCAAATAACTCAGATTTATTTAAAAATGGACRATACTACTCATCTTTTTAAAAGCACTTTAAGGCTTACTCTTGTTTACATGATCTTYGGGTACAGAAGATTTTATATAGGAAAATACTTCTCCATTAGTATTAGCTTATGTATTTGTCCTCTACTTATATCCTGCAATGTTCCTTGTCTCTTTCAGGAACTTGAGCTCCCAATGCTGAAAGTAGCAGCAACAGAGATGGTGTCTGGAGTGTCGGGGGAATCTGAGCAGAAACTGAGAGAATTGTTTGAACAAGCTGTGGTGAGATACCTGTAGGAAATAACACTGAATTGTTTGCCATTTTCTTTCTAAACATTCCCATGGCTTGATTTATAAAAGTTGGAATAGTAAGTGCAGTTTACTATCTTTTATTCTGTTACAAGCTTTATTTTTGGCCTGGCATTAAATTTTAGTGAAGATTTTGGGATTTTTTTAGACACAAAATGAGCAACTTATACAAGTATTGAAAGGTGGGAATAAAGCTACAGTTAAGTCTTGCTCTGTCTTAATATYGGCATTGAATACACAGGAGAGCTTTTAAGTTACTACCTGACAATTCTACAGTTTTGTAGAATCTTCATAAGTTAGTTGCATTTGTGCTCTATCTGATTGAGGAAAAAAGTGAATGACAACTAGATGGCGCAGTTAGCATCTRGTAATGTTTAAACTGCTATTTTTTGAATGAGAATTTAGACATTTTTTGRAAAGGATTCCAGTGTTTTCCTCAAATATTCCTTTGCACTATTTGCACTTCTTGATAATATTGTATCATATAAATATTCTTTTATATTAGATAGACTGATTATTATTATGTTAGTATTGGCTTTTTATGAACATACAATATATTAAATGTTAGAACCCTTGTGGAAGTTGCTTACTGCCCACTTCCTGCAGATTGCGTGCTTTTCTTTTTCTTTTTCTTCTTTTTTGTATGTGTGTATGTAATACTAACTCAAAGTTCTACAACTCTTAATGATGTTAAAAAAAACAAGAGAGAGAGACCTTTTTCTGATTTCTCRTTTGGACTAAAGTGAACAAGCAGTTAGGAGGGAACAGTATTTGTAAAAGACATAAAGCAATATGGAAGTGCATCAGAATTTTAACCAAGTAGAGAGATATACTGAATCCCATGCCTTAATTATTTCACAGTCTCAGCTCAGCACAATTTCATAGTTTGGCTGCTCTCCTGACACAATGAATGAGAACAACAACATTGTATTGGAACAGTTTGATTGTTCAGTRCATGCAACAGACTTAGAGTTTTAAAACAAATAAAATGTGCACTTTCTTTTCCTCTTCTAATACACTAGCTCAGTGGAATTTTGTATTTATTAATATATTTTTTCCTAGTCGAATGCCCCGTGCGTCCTTTTCATAGATGAGATTGATGCAATCACCCCAAAAAGAGAAGTTGCATCGAAGGACATGGAGCGGAGAATCGTTGCCCAGCTTTTGACTTGCATGGATGGTAAGTTTCCAGAACAGCTCGGCTAAGCTAAACTTTCTAATTAACAGTTTCACCRTTTTATTCCCTTTAGTATTGACCCACGTTTTCTTTTGTGGCAAATGTGGAAATAACGGATTGAGTTTTGATTGCCTTATTCATACTCTTATTATTGTGCACTGCAGAAAGAGGGTAACATAGCACAAAAACATTGAGAAGGTGAGTGCGAATACCAGCTACCTTCCTTCCTTCTTTCAGACTTGAATAACGTGGCTGCCACTGCCCAGGTTCTTGTTATTGGAGCAACCAACAGACCTGACTCGCTGGATCCCGCACTGAGGCGAGCTGGGAGATTTGATCGAGAAATTTGTTTAGGGATTCCAGATGAAGCAGCAAGAGAAAAGTAGGTGTTACAAAGTTTAAGCTTCTTTTTGACTGAAAATTGTTTTAAGTTGGCATATAAATTAAGAAAAAGTACTTTACTGTGTTTAGCCCTATGTGTGCCTTGTACACGTCTATATATCAGCATGTACTAAAAAGTGCATAAGAAGCTAAGTGGAATCTGCCTTATCTTAGTAGTTGCATTAACGTTTGATGTGGTTTCCTTTCTTATGTGCAAGTTTATCCTTGCAATTATTTTTGATGAGTTTTAAAGTACCTTAAGAGTATAGATAATGGATTTTAGTGTATTATTTGTATAGTTCAAGGATTAGGCATTCTGTCTTCAGTGCTTCCTGTGTAACTCTTGCATTATGGACCCAAGTTAGATATAAACTCTTTGTTAGTGTTTTTGAGCACATAGTTTAAGCAACATGTCTGGATTCTTCTTTTTCACTCTGAGGAAATRCATCTGTCCAGGCATTAAGCTGGGCTGAAGTCATCCTGTTCAGTGTAACCTACCCTTTTTTTCTCCAAAGATCTGTGATTAGTCATGACTAGTCATTTACAAGTTTTTTTCTTTTTTCCTTTTTCTGATTAAAAAGGAACTGCTGCTCATTTCCGCAACAGTAAAAAACACTATAAAGAGTGTAAACAGCCGTGGCTTATCTTCTAGTTAGCAGAAGGAAAGAAAGGTTAGAGGATAAGTTCCCTCTAGCTCAGCTAATCTTATTTCTAGCTTGCAAAAGCAAACTATTCTGCTGGTAGCATTTCCTCCTTTACCTCTGTCTTCCCTCAGCAGCTTGTTAGCTGTCAGCACTGATAATTACTGGCCACTCTTCGCCCCCCTTTAAAAAAAAAAATTGCAGTCTTGTGATAATTGTTTTCCTTTCCAAGGCTGTGGGAAACCAGTTAAATGGTGAGAGGTGCAGCTGAAGAGTTGTTCCGGAGAACTTTGATTCTGTGATACTCATTGGGCTCATGCTAAAATTACGCTGTTCCCAGGGCTGTTGCAAAGACTAGGGGTTGTGAATGAGTAAGCCATGGTTGTATAGGAACTTTATACAAATCCTGACTGTTTGTAAATAGTTCAGTTGAAGTATAGTCAAATTTTTCATATTATTGTTCCTGGCTGTGTAGGCTTACCAGAAATTTGATTTTACTGACTGTTTTTTTGCACATTTTTTGTTTGTTTTGTTCCTTTTTTTTTTAAGGAAAAGGCTCTTGTGTTGATTTACTAGATTTAATTTAATTGATTTACTAAATTTAAGACAGATTTAATAAAGCTATCTTGTTGAAGGGATATTTTGAACTAGTTACGCGTTGGTGTTGCAAGCTGTGAGTTTTTGGTGAGGGGAAAGGAGAGAAGGTGTTTATAGAAATCTTGTTTTATTCAGAGGGTTTTCTTATGCGTGAACAAAGCTGGCTTGCTTAAGAAAATGATGTGGGTAGAACACAAATTTAGAATTAGCCACTCAAAATTCTTTTCTACAGTCTGAGTCTTCTCACCAGCTGCAGCTGTTGTCAGGCAGGTTTCAAAATCCTTGGAAAGAAAGCTGCTATCTTTTAATAAAAATTCAAATGGCAGGTAATGGATCCCGCTAGTAGAGAAGAGAAGCATACAAAATACACTATAATATTAGTGGCTTTTATCATTTAATAAATCATTGAAAACATCTCTGCAGTTAATTATTGATCTGAAAATAACTTAAGCTAGTTCTCTTTGAAACAAAAAATGTGCTAGTGGTTTTATATGGCTTTTGAAGCTTTTTTTTTTTAATTAGCGTATTTTCCTAATGAAGTGATGTTTTGCTATTTGGAACAACTTGAAACCTGTGCTTAGACTTCTTCAGCACTAGTATTGGGTTGTTGACACTGGGTTTTGTCTTTATCTGACTAGTGATGTGATTTTCAGTTGTCCCTGTCTGGGAAATGTTAGTGGACCTTGAAGGAGATTTTTAAAGCTTCAGCAGATGTATGGAATGAAAAACAAACTAGATTCCAATCAAAATGATTGTAAGGAAGTAGAGGACTTTAATTTTGTAGAGCTGTTTTATATTAGTGGTGGAGGGGTACTGAAGATTAAAAGCCAGAGATCCTGTCAGTCTGATTTCATTTATTTGTTCCTCAAGGCAACGGGTTGTTATAGATGTTCTTCAATAGATAAATAGAAATGAGGTGAAAGATGGAAAGCTGGGTTGTGTGGGAGGCCAGGGCAGGCAAACATCTACCTGAAGAGCCTGTTTGAGCCTCTGTGCCAAACTCCCTGAGACACAAGCTCTCAGTTCAGAATCATGRACTAAGGCTTAAAGAATCTCTAATATTTGGATTCAGCTAAACTGTTTTTATCTTTTACCTGCTGAATGAGGTTGCTTGTTGGTACYGTTGATTTTCATTTAAGCACTGAAAGGAAATGCATAAAATAGTTTTGTGGGTTTCGGTATCGCATTTGAGTTGAGTGCAGGTTTTTCCCACCGTACTACTTCCCTTCATGTGGGCTGAGGGAGACCTTCAATCTTAAACCAGTGCTGTTTGGTTTCATATGAAAATTAAAAAGACCACAGCTTCACCCTTGTTTATTTGTGCATTTTTGCTGTTCTTTTTCTCTCACTTTCTCAGAATTCTAAAGACCCTGTGCCGAAAACTTAAGCTCCCYGAGTCCTTTGAATTTCGTCATTTAGCCCATATGACTCCAGGTTACGTGGGGGCTGATTTGATGGCACTGTGTCGGGAGGCAGCTATGTGCACAGTGAACAGAATCCTGATAAAATCTGAGGAGCACAAGCGGAAATGCATGCCGGGTGGAGGAAACACAGCTGAAGAAAGCATGGAAATTGGAACAGCAGCCCTGGTGGAAGAGGATACCAAACATCCAGAGCTTCCCTCCAGGGTATTTTGTGCTTTCAAGTGTCTGTCGTTTAATTTCTTAACAAGGAACCAGTTTAGGCTTCTGAAGGTCTTATAAATCCTCAATCCAGCTACATTTGATGCTGAATTTAGATATAGAAATAACAGCTTCTAAGCCAAATGGCCCACTCCTGCTGGCCCACGTGATGAGTCTGAACAGGAGGTTGCACAAGACTGAGCCTTCTAAAAATCATGCTGGAGGTATACGCAGGGAGGAGCAGACCAGGTGCTAAATAGTGGCAACAACTCTAAAAATACGTTAGTTATTTGGGATAAATCTCAAACAATGCCTGGTAGCTGTAACAAAGTTTGAGGAAGAGGCGGTTTAAAGACTATCCAGAAGAAGAGTTAGATTAACAATGTCATTTGAGCTGCAGGAAGCATCTGTTAATGTGCAGTGCACCTGGAACTTCGTTGCAATAAACAGCGCTTTCCGTGCTGGGGTTATTCTGTGGCCCATCTGCCTTGCTWTGGTTAGTGGATCAGAACATCTTTATATAGCCTGTTGTCCCTGCTCCTCAGAATTTTGGGTATGTTTGTGCATATCACTTGCTCTGTGCCAGCACTGTGTATGGGCTTCTTCAGGATTTGTGGAGAGAAGTAAAACATCTAACTTTAAAAGCTGATATTCCAGGTTGTTTTAAAATCCAGTGTACTTAGATTCTATTTTTAAAAGGACTGTCAAAAAGAAGTTAATTTAACTAACATAAACATTGAAAAAGCTGCAGAAAATAACCCATTTTTGTTAGGGCAATATAATCATACTGCCTGCCTCTCAGTGCTTCCTGAGGCCTGAGGGAGCCAAGAAGTGGGGGGCAGGTAGTTGCAGCCTTTTATCAACAGCAGCATGATCAAAGCWGTTGTTGAGGATGAGGAAGTCTAATCAAAACAGAGCCATATTTTGATAGCTRGCAGGAGGTCCACATAGTTTAACACAGGGTTTTGTCATTAAAACAGTAATATTATGTTTATCATGGAAAAATAAACATACAAAGCCTTTAAAAATAATCCACACAGTTGAAGTAAACGAACCCATTAATCTTGGCTATTTCACTTTTTTTTTTCTAATAGTTCTCTTTAGAAGAGGGAGAGATTAAGAGAAAATGTCAGACACTGTAAACACTTCTGTTCCCTTGCCGTTGGCTGTAATGCTATCTTAGCTGCAACAGATATGAAGTGATGTTTTTCCCATTCACTGCTGAAGGGAAAATGTAGAAACTAACAAGATGTTTTTGACTTTTTTTYYCCCCCCCCCCGTCTTCTAATAAAAATCCAGGYGTAGTTTTCCTTGTGATTCAGTGTCACCTCGCTTTACCACTGCCTTTCCGTATTAYACCTGGGGGGTGCTTACGTGGTGAGAGTATGAGTTTTCTTCCATCACATGCCTACTAAGACAGGAATCCTAATCCACATTAGGAAGCCCTTAAGTTGAACATACCCAAGTCCACAGGACCTGATGGGATGTGCATGAGTGCTGTGGGAGCTGCCTGCCATCTTTGCACGAGCACTCTTGATTGTCGCTCCAAGGGCTTGGGGAGAGTGCTCGAGGACTGGAAGAAAGCAAAGGGCCTCCCTGCCAGACAGGGAGGTGATCGAGAGCAGTCAGGGGATTTGCCAAGGGGAGCTTGTGCTTAAGCAGCCTAGTTGATATGTGTTTTAGTAGAGACGTGTTAGCAGTTTCGACATGCAAAGGATTTCTCTTAAGCACTGTGGGAGAAGTAGTAGAAAGAATTTGAAGATAAAATACTTGCGTTAGCTCTGTGTAGTGTTAAAATCAAGTCTGTAGTCTGTCAATCARGTACTTTCACTGGTGTTAAATGTTGTATTATCTATTTCACTGTGGGTTATACGCTTTGTTTTTATGTCAATTAATATTACAGTTGGAGAAAGCATTGYTTGGAAAAAAGTACCATTGTACAGTCTGTCTGTCTTCTTCCTTGTTCCCTAAGGATGAATTGCAGAGGCTTTTGGATTTGCTGAAGCAGGAAGATCCCTTGCCTGAGGAGCAGCTGCAAAAGCTGTACATTGAGATGAACGATTTTATTGTTGCGCTGTCGTCAGTGCAACCCTCTGCCAAGAGAGAAGGCTTTGTCACAATTCCTGATGTGACGTGGGCAGATATTGGAGCTTTGGAGGATGTTCGAGAGGAGCTGACTATGGCAATACTGGTATGTCTTAATGTTGCTTTCAAAGTTTTTGCACCCTTCCCTAACAAGGAAATAAAACTATTTGGTGGTTRTTGTTGTTTTTAAATATATTTATTTTCTTGATTATTTATAATATCCTGCCTATAAGTTGTAGCATGCTATGAATTAGGAATTTTGTGATATCTTCATTTGTTTTAAGTCTGTTGCACGTATTTAAAATTTTACTTTCTGTATCCCTGGCTTCAGTTTTCAGTATGTTCATTATTGCTGAATCTTTAAGTGTTCTAAAGGTTTCGTGCCAGTAACATTGGTTATGCTGCAGTGGTGTGAAGAACTGGAGACTACTCAGCTGGAAGATAGGTTGATAGTTAACACTGACACCCTAAGACTACAAATAAATACCGGTGTTGAATAATGATGCTTCTCCCAGTTCAGACTATTTATTATTGAAAGATAATGTGATGTTAATGCATTGTGTTTACTCCTCTAGCATTTAGAGATTTAGAGGAAAAGAACTTGCTTATGAATGAGGTTTTTTTGATCTGTAGCAGAATCCGAAAGTTTCCTCTTGGCTTTCTGTCACAGTGACTGTGACCCTTTCTTTTATAGGCACCTGTGCGGAACCCGGAGCAGTTTAAAGCTCTGGGCCTGACTACCCCAGCTGGTGTTCTCCTTGCAGGGCCTCCTGGCTGCGGTAAAACGCTCTTAGCTAAGGTAATAATTCTTCTGAATATACTCAAAGGTACTGCAGAATCTTACAGAGTTTTTGGAGGAGTGAGTGGATCTAGATATTGACAGAAGTTGAGCTTTTGCCTTTTGATTTGTCATCAGAAATTTAAAATCAAGCTTTTTTGTTGAAATTTTTTTTCTTCGATTTTGGTCATGTAGTCACTTCTCACTTTGTTTGAATGAAAATAAAAATTACAAAACTTGTAGGAATGAACTTGATAAAAAAGGAGTAGCAAACCTGGCATTACTGACTTCTTTATTAAATACCCACTTCTATGCAATTGTTGTGTAACTAAAGGATGTAGCTGAAAGTGGTCTGCACTTTTTATATTAATTATATTTACTGCAAATAATTTGGTTTGCTTTCCCCTTTCTCGTGGGCTTCCACTGTCAATATGTGTACTCACTGAAGTTTACAGATTGCCTTGCATCTTTGTTCATGTGGTGGAGTTTTTCTTTRTCTCCTATCAATCGTAAAACATAATCATACTTGATAACAATTTCATACTTCTGGACCATAGCTTTGTTAAGCTGATAGAATACCTTGCTAAATCTGTCATCCCATTCCCCCTAATTAGCTGTAGTTCTGCTTTTACTGTGCTTTATAAACAGTTGACAGCTAAGCTGTTTCTAAGGTTTTTTTGTACCTCTATGAACAGAATCAAAAAATACACATTCTGCATCATAGTATCAGCCTCTGGAATTTCATCAAAACACAGGAATAAGAGATTGCTTTGAGACCCTAGAGGGTTTAATGCTGAAATGGGTGTTCACTGTATATATCCTGTCTTTTTGTTTCTGATAGGCTGTGGCAAATGAGTCTGGACTGAACTTCATATCTGTGAAGGGTCCTGAGCTACTGAATATGGTATGTACTGTTTTTTGTGTTTTTCTTATTTATGGAGTTTTTGCCTGAAGCCTGAAACGAGCAACATTCCCGATAATTACGCAACTGATACCGATACAGCAGAAGTTGCCTYATTTAACCACTGCTTAAAATTTCTGTTATTGAAGCTGTTCATACATAACGTGAAAAGCTTCCTGGTTGGCTTGTTTTTATTTTGGTTAGATCGTGTGCTCTGTGAAATATTAGACAGATGGAGCCTGCTTGTTTGAAGTAAGATTTCTAAATGACCAGGTACTTGCATCATTGTGTGAATTGGAAAAAGAACAAAAAACTCAAATGAGCAGTGAAAGCTGTTGGTGATCAATAATTGCAAATCAGCACCTTACACTAAACGAACCAATTTGGAAGTGTGTTCCAAACATTTTAACTTTTGAAAGAGATTTGAAACCTTGGAAAGCAGGGCCATTTTAGTCTATGAACRTGCTGTTTAAGGATTTTAACGTTAACCTGATAAAAGTGCTGTAGTCTCAGATTTTGAAACACTGGACTTAGAAATGTTGTGAGAAAGTGTTAGTCTCTTTTAGAATTAAGAGAATGTGTTGAACTGAACAAGGTGGCTATGACCCACATTTTAACTTGCAAGATTCTGACATTTACCTGTTYAACAGTAATATGGAAACTAATACCAAAATACTGGATTTGAGCATTTTTAATTTTTCCCAGGCTTTTTTTTTTTTTAAATGTATACTTCAGGGGTTGATATCAGGTAGAGAACTGTAACTCTTTAAGTTGATCAGGACTCCTACTTCCTTGARGAGAACAAAGAAAATATGTGGCTTTGATTGTATATTTGCATGTTTGTTTGGCAAAAGATCAAGTGTTTCTGTTCAYAGCTTGGCAACCTCTTCCACCTCCCCAAAGTATTCAGGCAATTATTCTATGAACTTCACATTTCCATTGTGTTCAAATTGTTCAGTGCATTTGTTATGAACAGTTGGAGTTCAACAGAGTCCTTAGTGAACAATGCATTTGTTAACTCCCTTAATCAAAATGATGGCAAGTTACTTATTCCCCACGCAGTAGGAGATCTCTTTAAGCTGTGAGCATGAGTGGGAACTATCTAAAGGGAACTAGTGCCAACTAGTTCACATGTAAATCTAGGTTGATGTAAAAATAGATATAGCAGACCTAAGTACATTGGTTAGTGTGTTGCCTTCTCACTTGGAAAGCACCTCCAATTGTGTTTAAAGGTGGATTTTYTTTTCAAACAAAATCTTCATATCTTGCATCGTGTCATTGTGATTTGTCTTCTGCTTTAGTATGTTGGTGAAAGTGAACGTGCTGTACGCCAGGTATTCCAGCGTGCCAGGAATTCAGCCCCTTGTGTCATATTTTTTGATGAAGTCGACGCTCTGTGCCCCCGGAGGTCTGACCGTGAAGTGAGTTTGAAAATATCTCCATAAGTAAATTGCCTCGACTGTAGTTTTTCATGGTCATGTGCTTGCAACAGAAGTAACTGGAAGGGGTACTGTGTAGTAGCTTCCAAGGAAAGCTCGTATTTGAGCAAAAATRTGTTGGTAAAATTTTATGAAATTCAATATTTTTGCTAGTATCTATGTAGATATCCAGAAATGTCYGCCGACTTTGACTATGTAAAGCTGTAGTAAAAGGTGAGGAAGTACCATTTATTATTGCAGTTGATTTACAGCCATATTGTGATTCCTGCAAACCACARTAGTGCTTACTTGAGTGTTTACCATTCTGGACAATGTGAACAAAGTCATGAAGGTATTTGAGGCAGGAACATAAATGGAGGTAAAATGTAAACAGAAGTAAAACCCTGAGGTTTTGCCCCTCAGGGATGTTCCGCTTAGAGATCTTTCTGTGTTGATTGTGCTTTGGAAAAAGATAGCCCAGATATTGTCTGTACATTTAACTTTGCTTTTGAGGAGGTTTGTTTTGGCAACACATATACTTAGTGTATTGAAAGACATGCTGCTGTTTTGAACATTTGCTCTTTCTTCCTTTTTTTTTTTTTTTTTTTTTTTTTTTTTTTTTTTTTTT